ATAGATAGATAGAGGGTACTGGGTGAGTTGAAGATGAAAGGGTGATATCTAAAAACTAACACTAAGGAGTGAGAGAAGATTATACTGGGAGAAGGAGAGAGGGAGAGGTAGAATGGGGCAAATTATCTCACACAAAACAAAAAAGAAAAAAGCTTTTACAGTGGAAGGGAAGTGGAGAAAGGTGAGAGGGAATAAGTGAATCTGATTCTCATCAGATTTGGCTTAAGGAAGGAATAACATACATACTCAATTGGGTATGGAAATCTGTCTTACCCTACAGGAAAGTAGGGAGGAAGGGGATAAGGTGGGGATGACAGAACAGAGGGCAGATTGGGGAAGGGGGTAATCAGAAGCAAACACTTCTGAGGAGGGACAGGGTCAAAAGGGAGAATAGAATAACAGAGAATGGGATAGGATGAAGGGAAATATAGTTAGTTTTTCACAACATGACTACTATGGAAGTGTTTTGCATGACTACACATGTATAACCTGTATCGTGTTGTTTGACTTCTCAATGAGGGTGGGTGGGGAGGGAGGGAGAGAATTTGAAACTCAAAGTTTTAAAAACAAATGTTAAAAATTGTTTTTACATGCAAGTGGGAAATAAGATATACACACAATGGGGTATAGAAATCTGTCCTGCCCTATGGGAAAATAGAGGGGGAAGGGTATGAGAGAAAGGAGTAGCAATAGAAGGGAGGGCAGATTAGGGGAAGGGGTATTCAGAATGCATGCCATCTTGGGGTAGGGGGGAGGGATGAAATGGGGAGAAAATTGGAACTCAAAATCTTGTAGAAGTGAATGTCAAAAACTAAAAATAAATATTTAAATAAAAAAAGAAAGAAAAGGCTGTTTTTAAACCCTTGCTCTGTGCAGACACTGAGCTAAACAAAGTGAATACAAACACAAAAGTGAAATAGTCTCTCTCTTCAAGGAGGCTCACATTCTGAACAGGACCTAAGGTAACCATTGCCTCCACCGCTGCGCTACACAATTGTTGTCCATATCTAGATATCCAACTATAAGTGCTCCTTTCCTGCTCTGGGAAGCTGTATCAAAGAATCAGCAATTCTTTCTGTCGGAGCTCTGAGCCCCCAACCAGAAACATAGCTCTGGCTAAACAACTTAATGTCAAATCTTTCTCTTTGCTCAGAAGACTCCTTGCTCTTTTCCACTCTTATTTCCAAAAAGTACAGACCAATTAGCAAAAGCTTGTGGTCAATACTATTTAGAAATACAGACTTTCCTATGCCCAGGGGGAAAACCTTGAGACTACTACAAAGAAGCCCAAGGAGAGAAAGGAAATACAAGTTTACTGCCTTGAGGTCATGAGTGAAATAACAGAACTTTTCTTTCCACATTCCTTGTGCCCAATCTGCTTAAGAAGTCTGGCTCCCAGGGACATGGCCCATTTTGATGGTAATAGTAGCCTCTGCCTGCTCCACACCAGTTCTCATAGCTTCCCTTTCTCTAGCTATATGCATCATGTCAGGATAAGTCTCTCTCCCAGAATCACTGAATTGACTTGTAAAGATCACCCAGAAGCATGGCTATAATTCTTTATCCTACTATGCTGTTTCTTTTCTGAATCACTCAAAGGACTTTCTAATACCTCATAAGGCAACCACCTGGAAGAGCTGGAACTTTACAATTAGCTTCAACATCTTTTTGTTGGGTCGCTTTTTCTCTGATTATGTCTAAGAAAGACTAACTCCCTTACACAGATATATGTACATGAATAGAAATCAAACAAAAAAGTAGTACTTGTATAGCAAAGGATCAGGGGAACCCTCAAATTAATGGACCAGGGCACATTAGACATGTGCTCTAGTCCCTTTCTGAGAGATATGTGTTTTCCTGAGATTAAAGGACTTACCTCCCAGGGCATTCCTGGTTAGTACTTAGTAAATGAAGCTGTCTGCAAAATAAATGCCCAATGAAAATAAAGGGGAGAGACTTATCAGAGAGACCTCCCCCATCTGGAGTCTATAGGAGGAGCTGAGATGATTTGGATCCATCTGTCTCTTTTGGATCCTTCTCAAAAGCTTCCTTTTCCTTTTCCTTCCAGAAGGAACACAAGGAGGAAAAGGGGACTTTTCTTCTCTGCTGAAATGAAAATAGCTACTTACAGCAGAAGCAAACAAATGAGGTGAGGCAAACAAATGCCTGTAGCTTGTACCCATCCTGCAACTGCAAGTAGCAAGATTTCCCAATTGCTAGTGTCTTTTTCTCCCTTTCCATTTCCCTTCCTGAGAACAGGGCCCAAACCTGAGAAATGGCCATTTCCAACCTTGGGGGCTTGAGAGTTACCCAATTCCTAAGTCCAGTGCTGCCCAGTGGGAGATTTCCTTAATAGGCAGCTTCTCAGAGGAGAAGAAAACCATGCCAGAGTGACTGTGTACCTGAGCAACTAAAGAAAACTATGCCTGGCTGGCCAGAGGAGCCAGACTTTGTGAGTTTCTTGGAGAGTTCAGAGATGAATGCAAAATAGCAATTTGGCAGTCTACAAAAGTGTTTTCCCTTTCAAAGGGATGCATGAGAAGGAGATGTATGAGTATGTTAGGTTTCTTGTTGTATTTGCTCACACAAACCTGTGAGTCCCTTACATCTTGTGCAGTTTCTTCAGGCAAAGAATAAATTGATGTCCGGTACCTGGTATGTATTATACATTGAGCACCTTTTCTAAAAGGGACTCTCTTATCTACAGTTTAGGAGAAAACTTGGATATGACACGCATAAGCTTTGTTCTAAAAATGTCCCTGTAGGGTGGGGGCCTAGAGTGAAATATGACCCTCTTGGGGTCAAGCCTCTCCACCCCAGGCTGAACCTGGAGTTGTGGGAACTCAAAGCACTTTGTGGAAGATGCCTATTGACCAGTGTGGTATGTGTTTGGAATCCTATTCTTTTTTAAATGTCCATGCATCAAAACTGAGGTACACCTCAGCTCACAGAAGGAGAGATCATCTAGTCCAATCCCCTCATTTCACAAGTCAATACAACACAGTCCAGTTAATAGAATAAAACAAAGCATGAGTGAGCTGCTATGCTTCCAAAGACACATACCCAGAGGCAGCTGAAACAGTGGACAGAATGCTGATCTTGGAGTCAGGATGGACCTAAGTTCAAATCCAGGCTTAAACATCTATTATCTGTGTGATCCTGGGCAAGCTATCATTTTTCGTCACACGCTCTTATTTCCTTTCTGAATCACTCAAGGGACTTATTCATACCTCATAAAGTAATAGTGTGGCATGGGCCACAATTTTACAGCTAGTTAGCTATCCTGGCCTCAGTTTCTTCATCTGTAAAATTGGGGTAGTTATTGCACCTCCCTCCAGGGGCTGTGAGGATAAAATGAAATACATGTAAAGCATTTTGCAAACCTTAAACAATACATAAATGTTTAGCTATTAAGAAATGTAACATGGGGGCAGCTAGGTGGCACAGTAGATAAAGCTCCAGCCTTAGAGTCAGGAGGACCTAAGTTCAAATCCAACCTCAAACACATGATACTTACTAGCTGTGTGATCCTGGGCAAGTCACTTAACCCCGATTGCCCATCAAAAAAAAAAAAAGAAAAAAAGAAATAGGACATAGATCCAGTAGTTAACCACTATATTAATCTATAAAGTACAGGCTTTAAAATGTTGAAAAACAAATATTTAAAAATACATGCAAGAAAAATCCATATGATAATAGTTCCTGCCTTCTTCCTTTTGATTAAGATAAGCAGTGACTTTCAATTAGACTATATGGCCAATTCCTACATCTCATTACACAAATACAAATACTGTTTCTCATCTCATCATATAGATACTTTCAGGGGCTGAAACAGTCAAGACTCCCATGGTGCTACTCATCTGAACAGAATTGCATGCAGCCAGGTGGTACCTATATAGTATCGTAGTTAAGACTTGAGTTCAAATCCATCCTCAGACACTTTTTGGCCCTATGACCCTAGCAAGTCACTAAAGCTCTGTCTCAGTTTCCTCATGTGTAAAGTGAGGATGATAAAAAATAATAATAATAATAACACCTCCCAGGGCTGTTGTTAGTATAAAATGAGACATTTGCAAAGTGCTTTGAAAAATTTAAAAATTAATACTAGGTAGTATTTATCCATTGCTTTAAGGTCTGCCAATTTACAAATGAGCACTATATAAATGCTAGCTATTATGAACTCCGGGGAAGGAATGTAACACATTTGACAGCCAAACTATCCTAGAACCGTGTGCCTTAAACAAGGAATGGTGACAGTGTTGATGATAACCACAGGACACATGGCATCCTTGATGCTGGGACGAGCTGGGGAAAGAAGACTTAACATACCCCAGGAGAAGCAGGTTAGCCAGCAAGAAGGGTAGCGTCAGAGCTCCAGCCCAGGCCAGGCCTGTTCCCCAGGAGATTCCCCATGACTTCATCTTCTCCTCTACTCCCCCCTCCTCCCCCACGGAAAGGGGATCCTTGGGAGCCTGCAAGCTCGATAGAGAACCGGGGACAGTGCCTAGAGGAAGCTGACTAAGACAAAAGGCGTGTATAACCAGGGCGGCTCCATCCCACTCGTCCCAAGCCCTTAGGGAACCTAGACGTGGTGGAGGGGCAACATCCCGAGGTCTAAAGGGCGCAGCTGCTGGCTCTCCCCGCACTCACCATGGCGTCAAGGCCTCCAGTACCATGAATCTACTTGTCAGTTACAGGGCAGGGAGCTCTCAACTTGTTCCAAGTTTCCCAGTTACTGTGGTAACCAAGCCCCGCCCACGAGCCTCCTAGCTCCAATTTTATTTCCTTCCTCCACCCCGCCCCTTCTCCCGGCTTTTTAGCGGTCAGACCGGTCGAGGTCCCGCCCCCTTTCTTTAATTTGCCCGCCCCTTCCACGCTGTCGCTCTAGGCAATGTGATACCACCCTCCAATCGCCAACGTCCTCACTTGTGCTTTATCGCTGATTGACCCGGAAGTGAAGATTATTAAAGAGCCGGGAGCGACAAACATTTCTGAAACTATTACTTTTGACAGTTTATTTGCCTCTAGTTTCCGTGACTGATGTCCCATGCCATTGTCATTCGATTTAAACATATACTTAGAACAACATCCCGGAACAATATTTCTGTTGTCAGATGGGTTTAACCCGGAAGCGAATCTCCTAGAAGTCGGAAGTAGTCAGAGGAGAAAAAGAAGCTAGGTTTTTCGGAACAGCCGCGGGCGGCTGTGCATCCCAGGCAGGGAAAAGTGGGGAAAACAGCTCAGTGAAACGCACGGTAAGATGAACAGCCTCCGAAACAGCTTCCAAAACAGGGAATGGAAGAGGTTGATGGGCGGTGGGAAGAGTGTCCTAGGTCACTAATCGGTGTTGAATGGGCAGTGTAGACAGGGCTGAGCCTGGGAATCCTGTTTCCCAAATCTGCGGGGCCAGAAAAAAAAAACTATTAGGATCCTCATTCTTATTCGTGCTTTCAGCACCCCATTTCTTTGGTATCATCGTGGGCATTTTTTTGTTGTGGGAAGTTCTGGAAAGAAGTTTCCAAGTGGGCGACGTTATGGTTTTCCCGAGGAGGGAGGGTATTGAACACCCTTCTCCATAGATTAGAACTGAGGGGAGAGTGGGATTTGTGGGGAACCCGTCAGTTACAAGAGAACATGCTTATCATGTCCCTCGTACCCCAAAGCTAGGTGACAGTGTCATGTCCATTCTGAGGTTGTCATACCTGTCACTTTTTTGCTTCTGCAGTGTATTCTTTCAGAGATAGCCACAATTGAGTATTCAGTTATCATTAATAGCCATTTATTTTTTTAATCCTCGGCAGAGGATACAATTGAAGCCCCATCCTGGTACAGATTGTGCAATGGTGCAGCGTTGACAAATTGGTGTCAGCATTGATGACATTGTTGGAAGTCATTATATTGACATTAATGTGGTAACAGTATTGCATCAGAATGTTTTTTCCACGCTGATGATCCCTCTGGGTCATAGAATTTCTGAGTTGAAAATACTTTAAAGACCATACTGTTGCACATTCCCGACCTGTAAGCCCCAATGAATCTTATGTATAAATAACCTTTCCTTCTGTAAATACTGTCTCATCTATTTTTATTTCAAATGTAAATCAATGAAATTGTGATTTTTAAAAATATAAAAGTTTGAAAGTATTATTTAATTTCTAGTGTTTTTTATTATTTTGTATTTTTCAATAGGGAAATACTAAGACTATAATTACTATCATGTGAAATCTGTTATCTTTTTTACATTAAAAGAGAAATTCTTGTATTAAGAAGAATTTGAAAACCACTAGCATAGTTGTACAAACATTGAATTGAGTCAGAATTCATGGGTTTTGTCTTGGTTCCTTGACCTGTAATTCACCTTGGGTGAATAATTTAACGTCTTTCACCCCCAGCTTTATAGGATTGCATTGAGCTTACCAAGGTCCTTTCCATCTCAAAAAGACAGTGGTTCCTTAGTCCAACCCTCTTTCTGATGCATAAATCTCCTCTGTAGCATCTAAGACAAGTTGCACTCAAGCCTCTGCTTGAACTTTTCCAAAGATAAAGAATCCATAGCCTATGGTGAAAACATACTCTGTTTTCAGATGGCCTTAATTGTTAAGGGGTTCTTACTTATTCTAAACAAAAATCTGCCATGCCATGATGTTTACTGATTGACCTTGTTCTGCCCTCTAGAAACAAACAGAATAAACTTTATTCTTTTTCTTAGTGACAATACTTCAAATATTAGAGGACAAATATTATGTTCTCCCAAGTCTTTTTGTGAGTCTAACCCTCCATAATTTTCTCAAGCATTTGTTATTAACTTAGTAGGTCTCCTCCAGATAGATAGAATTGGTACTGTTATTTTGTTTAGTGGTAAAGGGAGCTCCCCAAGGAGGAAATTCCCTCTACTGTCACAAGCCTGTGCCTTCGATGTAACTCACATTTACATAATTTGGCTAGAGGGGCAGCTAGGTGGCGCAGTGGATAGTGCACCGGCCCTGGAGTCAGCCCGACCTGAGTTCAAATCCAGCCTCAGACACATCATACTCACTAACTGTGTAACTCTGGGCAAGTCACTTAACCCCAATTGCCTCACCAGAAAACAAAACAAACAAAAATTTGGGCTAGAGCACTGAGAGGTTAAGCATCATACAGTGAATACATGTTGAAGGGGAGACTTGAACCCAGGTGGTCCTAGTTTCAACTCGGGAAGTTGCTGCCTTCAGCAACAGTTTGTTAATGTTTTGCCTAAATGTACTGTACAGAATTGAAAAGAATAGCCCAGGTATCTGACTAGCACTACAAGGATATCTATGAGATTATATATCACCTAAAGTAATAAATTTCAGAGGTATTTGGAATATATGTAATCTCATTGCAGAAGCAGTTAACAGGTTAGAATATTTCAGTTGAAGAGACAGCTGCCAAATTAACTTACATTTTGTTCATTCTTTTATACTTAGACATTTCTAAATTTTTCAGCAGCAGTCTTCAGGTAAAGTCCTTTGGATAAGGAAAAATGACTTCCCTTGAAAGCACTGAAGTCAAAGGTAAGTATTTTTTAATGCATAATAAAAAAAAAAGAGTAGAATTTAAGAACAGTGTGGAGAAAAGGTAAGTATTTTTTAATGCATAATAAAAAAAAAGAGTAGAATTTAAGAACAGTGTGGAGAAAATTGAGACCTAATCAGTTCCATTTCATGTGTGAAGAGAACTGTAAGGTATCAAGTTTCTTGTAGCACTGTGTCCATATAATAATACATTTGTAATTTAGACGATTGGACAACAAAGTTTTAAATGTTACCATGATTAAGTAGTATTGTCTACATGGTTGTGGTTTTGTTAGGTGCTATAAAAGCACAATTTTCAGATCTGCTTTCTGCTAGAGGATTGATGTGGACTAAATGAAGTATGCAAATAAATAACAATTAACAGATATACATGATAGGTACAGATATCCTGACTTAAGCAAATCCTACCTATGAAAATTACTTTTAAACAAAAGATAAGGGTCATCTTTTTCATAGTGAAAAGATTTGCAATAACATTCCCCTTTAAGTGGCAGACTTCCCTAATAACTTTAAATATTGTATTGATTTACAGAGATTTTATTATGTATATGAATATAGATATCTCTGCAACTTTTTAGGAACATCTTTAGTATGTAAATTCAATTCACCAAGTATCTTTTGGTATTTGATAACTTCTCAAAAGTGCTTTGATAGGCTTTAAAGAAAATAAAGAGGTGAATGTAACAGTTTCAGCCCTTAAGATGCTTGCAGCCTACCATGGAGTTAAGGAAGGTACACAAATAAATATACTACAAGGCTGAGTAAATTCATCTCCATAAGAAAGGTACAAAGTGTTTTGGAGGTTCAGAAAAAGGAAAAGTGGTTAGAAAGCTCAGAGAAGGCTCCATGAAGAAGAAATATTTAAACCAAACCTCGGAGAGTAAGTGGGATTTCAATAGGCAAAGATGCAAAAGAAGAGGGAAGGACCTATCTAAAGATAGTTACACACAGAAATAAATTAAAATAAAAACCAAAACATATTAAGAATTTAGGGGCATTAGATAAAACACACCCCAGTTCAGGAGAAATCATACCTACAGTGCATTTGTACTTTGTTTTTATTAACCAGGCGAGATCTCAAGTACTAGGTAGAATTTTTATCAGTCTTTTAAGGAAGAAATGAAAGATGTTTCAAAGATTAGAAGGGAAAGATAATCTGCCCTATATTGCTCCTAGAAGCAGTTTCACAGCCAAACTCCTAGGAGTCATCTCCATTGCTGTCCTCTCCTCCATCATCTCCTGCTGACTTCTCGTTCCCTTGTAGTCCTACTTCTGAATTCTCCACTTCACAATACCTGCTTTCTCCAAAATTACCAAAAAATCTCTTTTATTGCCATCCCAGTGGCTTTTTCTCAGTCCTCAATCTTTTTAAGCTCTTGAGCCTATCAATCATCTTGGGATACTCTCTTTTCCTTTGATATTGCACTCTACTTGTTTTCCAGTTATCTGACTGTTCCTTCACGATTTCCTTATACTTGATCTGAATTATGGAGAAAGCAAGAGAGTTCAAGAAAAACATCTCGTTCTGTTTCATTGACCACACTAAAGCCTTGGACTGTGTGGCAAGTTCTCAAAGAGATGGGAGTACCAGATCATCTTTGTCCCCTGAGCAGCCTGTATGTGGGGCAAGAAGCAACAGTCAGACCCAAACACAGAACAACTGATTTTTTTTTAAGATTGGAAAAGGAGTACAACAAGGCTGCATATGGTTACCTTTTTTATTTAACTTATATGCAGAGTACGTCATGTGAAATGCCAGGCCGGGTGACTCAAAAGCTGGAATTAAGGTTGCTGGGAAAAATGGCAACAATCTCAAGTATGCAGACACCACCACACTCATGGCAGAAAGTAAAGAGGAATTAAGAAGCCTCTTGATGAAAGAGGAAAGTGTAAAAGCTGGCTTGAAGCTTAATATTAAAAAAAAAAAACTAAGCTCTTAGCAACTTGATTCTATCACTTGGAACTTGGTTCCATCACTTCCTGGCAAATAAAGGGAGAAGAAGTAGAACCATTGTCAGGTTTTGAAATCTTGGGTTCAAAGATCACTGTACATAGTAACTGTAGCTATTAAATTCAAAGATGCTTGCTCCTTAGAAGGAAAGCTATAACAATTCTGGATAGCATACTAAAAAGCAGAGACATCACCTTGCTGACCAAGGTCTGTATTCAGTATAGTCACAACTGTGGTTTTTCCAGTAGCAATGTCTGTCTCTGAGAGTTGGACTATAAGGAGAACTGAGGGCTGCATAATCACCTTTTTCGAACTATGGAGCTGGAGAAGATTTTTGAGAGTCCCCTGGACAGCAAGGAGATCAAATCAGTCACTACTTAAAGAAATTAATTCGGACTGTTCCCTGGAAGGCCAAATACTGAAGCTTAAATACTTTGGACACATAATGAGAAGATGGGGGACATTAGAAAAGACTCTAATGTTGGGAAAGATTGAAGACAAAAGGAAAAGGGGATGGCAGAGGATGAGATATATATAATGTCATGGGAACAACAAATATAAACTTGAGCAGACTTCGTGAGATAGTCAAGAATAGAAGGAGGTGGCATGCTGTGGTCCATGGGGTCACAAAGAGTTAGATAGGACTGAACAACTGCTTTATTCTCTTCCTTCCTAACTATAAACATCCTCCAAGGCTCTGTCAACTCTCTTTACACTCTTTCAGTGACCTAACCAAGGCAAATGACTCCCAGATCTATAAGTCCTTCCCTAAGCTTTCTTCTGAACTGAAATCAGTGTGACATCACCACCTGCTTCTATGACATCCCCATACCTAGATGTCCCAGAGGATTCTCAGATTCAGCAACTTTCAAAATAGAACCTATCTTCCCCCTTACTCCCAAATTCACCATTCTTCCAAACTTTCCTATGTTATTTGAGCACATCACCATCCTGCCAGTCTCTCACATGTGCAACTTCAGGCTCTTCCTCAACTACTCTTCATCGTCCTTCTAGCTTATCAACATCCTTCTTAAAGTACTGTCCAAAACTTCTCTTTGGCCTATTTTAAAAATTCTAGTTTTAGGACTTGATATACAGGAATCAGGGCAGCATTAGAATCTTTTTTTTTTCATTTGGAAAGATGTTAGAATCTTTAAAGATTAAGTAATGCCTTATATTATCATGGCTTTCCATTTCAAAAGCCATTCAAGGGCTCCGCCAGTGAGATTAGGTGGAGATTAGGAAGGACTTTGCTACAGCACCATCAGTTTGAGTTCTCTAAATTAAATGGGAGCTACAGTTGAAACCTCATTATCATAAGTTGCATGTTGCGGCTTCTTGGGCATTTGCTGGTGTTTGACAGTAACTCCGCCTTGCATTTTGAAAAGTATTTTTTATGCTTAGAAGGAGTTCTGCTTCAAGTTCAGTGGAGAGTTATTTACTTTGGAGTGACTCACATAAGTAGATTCATTTAGAGACTGGTAGAGTCATCAGAGACACCTTGAGTAGGCAGTAGTACATAACAGAGCTACTTCTGTATGTACAATTCACTTGGCTACTTGCGGTCTACCTTGTGTTACTGTTCCTATATATGTTCTGTATTCCCAACTAGATTTTAAACACTTTTAATGCAAGAACTATTAATACGTCTTTGTGTCCCTAGTGTTTATCACATACTTAAAAAATACTTGTTTTTTTGTGATGGTGATGATGAAGAATCAGGGTCATGATGAACATCATTTGTTGTATTGTGTTATGAAACGTTAGTTTTTCTGTCCCTTCCTGGCCACAAGTATGCCTACTTCCAGAAGTTTTTCTCTTCTTAATTTTTTTTCTAATCTTTTTCGTCCTGGGAAATAAGATAACCAAAATTGCTAAGAGGTGTGCTTAAAATAAAAAACAATATACTCTGAATAATGATGTAAGAACATCTTCTAAAGAAGAAAATTTATTATTAGTTTTAATGTGGGGTCCTTGTGACAGCTATTTCAGATTCCTGTTTTTGCTTCTGTGGATTTTTTGTTGTTATTGTTGTTTTGGGGAGTTTTTTGGCTGTGCTTAGGATGACTGACATTACCAGAAATCTGACCCTCAGGTAAGTGGGATGTTATCGTATATCTAAGTACAGGACTTCATGAGTAGGCTGAACTACATACTCACAAGGCCCAGGCATTTCTTAGCTAGTCTTATCCTATATTGCTAAGCTCCAAAATCAAGGGTGGGCCTGCAGTCAGTAAATCAATGCTGTTTCTTTCTCAGAGAATGACAGTGCTAAGCTTTTCCTAGTTTATTCACTTTAAGACAAGGTGGAAGGAAATAGTTTGAACTATGAATGGTTTTTATTTTCTGGGCTAATTATAACACATAAGGAGAAAGCCAGTTTCAATCAGCTGATACTTACCAAAGACTCAGTATGAATTCAGGACTATTGGGCATCATAGGGAATATAAAAGAAGCATAAGATACAGTCCTATTGTCCTTGAGAGCTTAGACTCGTGGAGAGACGTGAAACAATTATAAGGTGGTAAAACCTAAGTTTACCTGTCAGAATAAAACAATATAGGCAGCATTGTGCTTTAGGAATTCAGAAGACAGAGATCACTATGGGCTGAAACAGTCAGTGTTAACATAGAAAAGGAGATGGGACTCAGTCCTGAAGTATGAGTAGGAATTAAATAGGAAGAAAAAAATAAGGAGGCCATTCCAGGAAGAGTAGGGTGTGACTACTAGAGATAGAAGTGAGCATGGGGTGTTTTTGAAAGTTAGGTGACCAGTCATAACCTTGAACTTTTTTTTCCCCATTTAATAGAAGAAAACTGGTAATGCTTACAGTCTTATTTACATACTCAGTCCTTTATAATTTAATGGCATCAGTCTGAGTAATTTGGAGACATTAGTAATTTTATGTTTCCTTAAACTGCTGACTAGTATAGAAGGTTTTTGTTTTAGGGCCAGATGAAGAATAGCTTTGACCCCCCCACTCTAGGGATTCGTATCTTTTTCTTCTTTTAATGGTTGAACCATTAAAGGTTTTGAACAGAGGACTAACATGATAAAGGCAATGTCTAAGGAATATGAATATGGTGACAGTTAAGCATAGTTGTATAATGCAGCAGGTGATTATTTGGGCATACAGAGTTTACTCTTACACTGAATTCACATACTCCAAAATAAAAAAAATAACAAAAAACTGTCAGGAGTTACTGAAGATAAAGTGATCCCATTTGGGGATAGGCAGGCTAACACTTTACTTTATATTTCTGTGGTTAGTATAATATTTACTGGTATAGGTAAAGGAAAGGAAACTTTCACTTGTGAAAAATCTAATGAAATGAGAGGTCGATCCTTTGACAAAGTATATGTCATCTGATGACTATCTTTAGGTGTAGCAGTAGATAGAGCCCTTGACTTGACTTCAAGTCCTGCCTCAGATGCTTCCTAGCTGGGTGACCCCAAGCAAGTCCCTCAACTTCTCTGTGCCTAAGTTTCCTCATCAGTAAAATGGGGATAATAATAGCTCCTGCCTCCCAGGGTTTTGAGGATAAAATGAGATATTTGCAAAGCACTTTGAAAACCTTAAAACACTATATAAATGCTAACTATGAATTATTTTTGTTGGTAATTCTAAATTATAAAGCAAAGCAGAATGGTTTTATTAGTAAATGATTGTCCTTTGTTTTCTACATGATAGTAAGTCCTCCTTCAGTACCAGTCCGTGGGGCTGGAGATGGAATGGAAACTGAGCAGCCACCTAAGTCTGTGGAAGTTACGTCCGGAGCCCATCCCCAGAGCTGTCACGGCCTTCGAAGCCCAAGGAAGAATCCTGTTCCATCACTGAGCCCAGGAGTGCTCCAGCTGGGCAAGATTATCACCGACAAAGCAGTGGAAGTTGAAGCTGTTCGAATACTAGTTCCCAAAGCTGCTATAACCCATGATATCCCTGCCAAAAATGCCAAACTGGTTAAATCTCTGGGACACCATAAAGGAGAACTTTTAGGTCAATTAGATGGAGTCATAGACCCCAGAAAAGAGGTAGCAGAATTAAAAAATAGAGTGGAAAAGCTCAGGAGCTCTGAAAGGAGATTGCTACAGGACAAAGAAGGGCTTTCCAACCAGCTTCGTGTGCAAACAGAGGTGAGAGCAGCCTCGAGTAATAGTACTCTTTACACTAGAGCCTGCAAAGTCTGGATGTTGCATAAAGTGGGTTTCCGGGACATTGTTTCCTTTCTGCACATTTGGAAACGCTATTACAGTGCCCTCTGCCGCCTCCAGAACATACACACACACACACACACACACACACACACACACACACACACACACACACACACACACGCACACGCACACACGCACACACGCGCAGGTGTGCCCTGTACTGGGCCCTAAAAGATTCTCCCCTGGTCCTCACACCTGTTCCAGGTTTCTGGTAATAGGACTAGAATTTCCATTTTCTTGATTCCTTCCAGCTAGAAATGATGTGTCTCAAATTACTCAGCTCTTTGGAACTGTCCTTTGTACTTATCACATTCTCTTTTAGGTTATAGTAATTCTTATGTGGATCTTCTTTCCCCATTCAGTTTTGAGATCCATGAGGGCAAGGACTTGCTTTTTAAATCTAGTGCCTTGCAAAGTCTTTGCACATACATCTACTTTCAGAGCCTGTGATTTAGCTGGTATGAGGACTCCCCTCATATCACATTGCCAAGATGCAGCCTCTCTATAACTTATAATGTTAGAACATGGATCAACGCTCAGAGAGCATAAGGAATGTGGCCTTGGTAACACATATATTAAATAGTAAAGGCAGGATTTGAACCCAGGTCCTCATGACTCTAAACCTAGCACTTTCTCCACTGCACCGTGCAGCCTCATATGTGCCTTGCATGACGTAGATAACTTATAAATATTCATTTAAATTGAAGTAGTGGGTCAGTATTATAGGCTTATAGGCTAATTCTGAGAATTTGAGAGGTGATCATATTGAAGGAATGGTCATGTGGTTCTCCTTACCTTCCCACACCACTAAAAGGGGAAAACAAAGCCATCCCCAGCTTGCAGCGAGGTTTGGAGTGACTGCCAGATCTCAGTGGACTCAGCTGCTGCCCTTGGCCACCTTGGATACGCCCAGATAAAAGGTCACCCTCCTCCAGGCCTGCCAGGTTTCTTCAGGTCCCGTCCCTGCCTTCCCTGCCCACATATAAGTACCAATATCCACATGAGGATGGTAAGACGTCTTCAGCAGCAGTGTGATATGAGGCTTGATTGATTGCTCCTGCGCATTTACCAAAATCTGCTTTGCCTTTTGGAGACTCCCTTTTTTTTTTTGAGATTTTTTTGCTCTTTAAGTGTTCTTGAAAAGTTATGAGTGCTAACTTGTCAGATAGTGATGTGTGAACGTGTAGACAGTCTTTTCTGAGTACTAACTGGCCATAGTATTAGACGCTAGTTGATGGATTTCTGTACGGGGTGGGGGGGGGGGAAGCCTGTGATGAACTTGAGTGCCATAATTAGCCTAATAATGATATATGGCCAGTGAGTTTGGGAGGTGGTGGTTATCTCAGGATGGTCAGTTGACTGTTTGGATACTAATTAACATCTTAAATACAACCTTGATGGAGGGAAGGGGGGAGAAGAAGGACAGTATCTGCTTGTAAAATCTTTTGTAAAAAGGGGAAAAAAAACTTGCACTTTTAACAAGCAAATTTATAAGCAGCAGTGCTTCAAAAAAAAATTACTAACTCAACATACAACCAGTAAACCAAAAAGGAGTACAGCAAACTCTACTTGATAGAAAAATGTCTTCTGCTTAGGAAAGGAATCTCCCAACATTGGGTGTTGCAATTGTAGTTACAGTAATAATACCAATAACCACATCAGCAACCGCTGATTGATCATGTGACTGCTCCTTTGCACTTGGAAATTCATACATCAGTTGCATCTCAAATCATGAAATGGGTCGCAGCAGTCCAAATAAGGTGATGGCTGGTGGAAAACAGGCTACCCAGAGTACTGACCACATCAGTAATTATTGCTTGATTATTTTGTAGACTAAAAAAGATATCAAAGGACATTTCAGCTGGTGGTGGCCAAAGTATATCAATGGCTTCCTGTATTGGACATCTATTAGAAGTAATAAAGGAATACTTTAGGACAACGAACCTCAGCCTTTCGGAAGTGTTTGGTGTAGCTTTCGTTTCTCCCACATATTTAAGGCGAGAAAATTCAGTTGCTTGAAGGGTTGAGCTGATGGCTACTCCCAAAGTAGGGATGATAATAAGCACCTGCCTTACAGGATTGTGCAGATCAAATAAGATGATGTATATAAAATGCTTTGCAAAACTTAAAATATTTTTAAAATATGAGATGTTGTTGTTGAAAGATGCAAGGTTTGGTGTCAGTTTCCAGGTCTACTACCACACATTTGCTTAACCTAGTTAGATTTCTAAGATCCACAAGATGGAGAACACTGCCTGGGGCTATCAGCAAGTTCAGAATGCAATTAACAAAATGGCCAGTAGTGACATAAGCAGTTGGAAGCCATAGGTAGTCTTCAATCAATCAACAAACATTTATTAAGTGCTACCATGTGACTACCCTGTGGAATACACAAAGACAAATTAAATGGGCTCTGCCCTGGAGGAGGTTGATTTTAATCAGAGGAATAGCACTTAGAAGTCAGTTTATTCATATACATACTTATAAGTAAATATGAAATACATACCAGGTCCATTGGGAAAGAGTGAGTCAGGAGGCTTGGGAGCCAAAATTTGATAGAGGCTGGGGAGGTGGGGAAGGTGCATTCCAGGCATGGGAGCCAAGAGTGTGTGAAAAAGCCTGGTCAAAGCAGGGAGGCTGCACTTGGGGGTAAAAGGGAGGCCAGGCTTGCTGAAGGACCAGCTTCCTCAGAGGCAGAAATGTGTAAGAAGCCTGGGAAGGTACGTTGAAGATGGATTGTGGAGGGCTTCAGGTGACAGTCTGGAGTTTGCGTTTGATTGTCGAGGCAGCAGGGAGCTATGGAGTTTTTGATGAGGGAGGTGACTTATGCTTTGGCAGCTGTGTGGAGGATGGAGAGGGGAAGAAATTAGGGACAGGGAAATCAATTAGGAGGCTGTTGCAGTAGGTAAGAAGTGACGAGGGCCTGACTTAAGGTGGTGACAGTATAAGCAGAGAGAAGGGGATGGATGCATGCAAGAGGTGTTGTGAAGGAAGAATCAGCCTGACTAGGAAATTGATTCACTGTGGGCTGGGGAAGGAGACGAAGTTGCTAAGGAAGACTCGGACTCTGAACCCTTGTGATCAAAAGACAGTGGTGCCTGTGATACAGGGAAGTTGGGAGAGAAGAAAGTTTAAGGAGTCATCTCTTGTGCTTGTATGGTTTTAATCTTTGTGACTGAGTAAAGATTCATTCTTTCTGCTGTGTTGATAGTAGAGTATGAGCCTTCTAGCTAGAAGATAAAAAGAAGGTGTGAAGTCAGTAGTTTTTATTTAGAGGGGAGTAACTAAATTTGGGGAGATTCATTGCCAGGGTGGCTAGGGGATAATAGATTTTCCAGCCGTAGCAATTCTTCAAGACTATCTCCTGAGTTTTGGGGAGTTGCAGTCTGCATTAATGGAAGGAATTCTCTTACCAATAAAATATTGGTGATTTTCTTCAATAAACCTCCTTGTGTGTAGTGTAATTTACTAGGCACCAGGAAAAATACTAAATAAGGCATCATCTCTGACCTCCAAAAATTCATGATTTGTGCCATTTTACAGGAGTTTACATTTATACCAAAACTTGGATGAACAGATAGAAGTCTCGTGTGGCTTGGATGTGAAGTCCAGACCCATTAAGATATTCTAAGATGCTCCTGGTGAACATACTCCTATGTTCCTACAACATTTCCACAACCAAACCTTTCATCTTAGTACCCTTCTCTGTTATTTCATTAAAGTTAATTCTCTTAATTATTTCACTAATTAGTCTTTACTCTGAGCTATTATTGACGTTCTTTTCTAGGTGAATCGTGAATTAAAGAAGTTGCTGGTGGCTTCTGTTGGGGATGATCTGCAGTATCACTTTGAACGTTTGGCTCGTGAGAAAAATCAGCTTATTTTAGAAAATGAGGCCCTGGGCCGGAACACAGCTCAGCTCTCTGAACAATTAGAACGCATGTCTATACAGTGTGATGTGTGGCGAAGTAAATTTCTAGCAAGCAGGTATTATGCCATTTCACATGCTCAATCATTTTACTAGTTCTGTGCATATTTCAAGCCTTTGACCCATTGACACACAAAAGCAGAATTCATTGTTGAAAAATATTGAAACTTTGAATTTAAAGATTTATAAGAATATTATCTTAAAACCTTTAAGGATGTTAGAACATATTATAGCTGCCACAGAATGTACTTTCTCCTACGTTCATAACATACATTTACTTATCATTTTGCTGGTTATGGAGTGGGGACCATCTCCAGTCATCCTTATCTGTATCTGGCCACTGGACCCAGGTGGCTTCGGAGGAGAAAGTGAAGCTGGTGACCTTGCACAGCGCCCCCTCACTTAAATCCAATTTACTTGCAAATCATGGCATCATCTTCCTGATTCATGGTCCTCTTTGAGAACAAAAGACAAACAACAGTTACAGAGTATTTTGCATTTATCATCTTCATTTGATTTTCTGAGGTTAGCAATGCAGGTTTTATTATCTTCGTTGTAAAAATGAGGGTGGGGACAGATTCCCAGATGAGGGAAATGGGTTTCACTCACTATGTGATGATGGAATAATAAGCAACAGAACAAAACCAGGTCCTTTAAGACTCTTTCCAGTACCTTCTCTGTAGGTGGCTAAACTGTCAGTAAATTGATGGAGAAGGAATGTGAACTACAGACTTGTACCAGAATCAAGAATCCTGAATGACTTGTGTACAGACTGGTATGGCCTTGGTTCTCAGGGCAAAAGAGTACCCATAGACAACATTGTGCCTCCTACCCTTAGACTTTGGATCACAGAGGGAGGACTCTGAGAAGACTTAATAGGAAAACTAGTAGAGCTGCTGCTGCTTTTGAAAACACTAATAAGGTGTTAGCTTTTTTTTAATATTGCAAATAAAATTTAATGATGTTAAGAATACAAATAAAGACATTCTCATTATAAAGAATTCCACAAGAAACTAGGCTTGTGGGTCATCTGGAGAAAATTGGATAACACCTGAAGTAGAACTTCAGGAGGAGTGTAGAACTGTGGCTGGAGAACTGGCTGCACCATCAGGAATCCCCCGGTTCAAGTCCTGCCTCTGACACAAATAGCTGTGTGACTCTGGGCAGAGCAGGTACTATACTGAAATTAGAGATCCAATTTGTTCCCCTCCTCCCCCCTCAAAAGAATATAACTGAGCACTAGACAGTACAGAAGGAATGCTTAAGAACAGTATCCCATGTTTCATATCTGTGAAAGATCATTCACCAAAGACTTTAAATTAAGTTGTGGGGTGCTAGATGTAGCAGTGGATACAGCACCGGCCCTGGAGTAAGGAGGATCTGAGTTCAAATCCAGTCTAAGACACATAACACTGCCTTGCTGTGTGACTCTGGGCAAGTCACTTAACCCCAAATGCCTCACCAAAAAAACAAAACAAACATAAAATAAGTTGTATTCTAATTGTCCTGATATAGAACAACTTTTTAAAGAAAAATAAGTTTGTAGTTGTGTTGATTTTATAAAAGTACTAAACATTTGTTGTTTTTCACTGAGCAGTTTAAAATCCTATTCATGCTTAATTTATAGCCCTGGAAAAAGCTTGTTGCTGTAAGAATAATAATGGGACTTTTTTATATTTTTTTGATTTACCTTCTAATAGCATTCGAAACAAACTGCTGTCTCTTATTGTCACATCCTTGTTACCATTTTATTTAAATTTTGAGTCCGCAGACAAGATTTTATAGTATTCAGTGGTCTTAGTGAAAAAATTCAGTCTGAGACCTTAATTGTTATTCAGTTAGTTGTTAACTAGGGTGAAAACATACACAAATTATAAGGAGGCTCGATAATTGCAGAATAAGGATGACAGATACCTACAGGAATCATTATCTTCACTTTGTAGTCTTTTCCCTGTTGTCTTTTACTTAAATTTAATTGGATGTCTTTCCCAAGCACCAAATTAAATTAAAATTTTTAATCAAAAATTTTAAAGATATTGCCATCAGTATTAAAATTTCTTTGTGTCAGTTGTAAAATATGTTATTTCTGTTGTGGTGGTGTTTTTGTTTGTTTTTTGTTTTGTTTTAAAGATTTCATTTGTGGGATATATAATGTTTTGCAGGGTTATGGCTAATGAGTTAACTAATGCCAGAGCAGCGTTACAGCGTCAAAGCCGGGATGCCCAGAGTGCTATTCAAGATCTCCTCAGTGAACGGGAACAATTCCGGCAAGAGATGATTGCTACTCAGAAGTAAGCCATAATTGTGCTGTGTTGTCAGGGGCTTTTCTTCCAAAACTCAGACTTCTCTTTTGACTTCTGTCTCCATTTGTTCCCTTGTTACACTGTGCTGCATCAAGCTGAAATGAAGGTTCCACAAGAAATCAAAAGCCTTCTCCATCCTCCAGGAGGTTGCATTCTAATTGAGACTCCATCTGTGTGGGGAGGAATCTTTGAGGACAAATGTGGACTGTGCTTTGAGAGGCAGTTGGCCTGCTTCCTCCAGAAAGCTCTTTGAGGTGATGCGGAGGAATATCATAAGGAATCTTTCCTACATGCTTCTAAATATAGAATTTCAGGCTTCAGAGCACTTCGTTACCAGTTACCAATTCACATTCTTACAAGTCTGGTGCAATTTTATAGATTTAATTCAGCTCAACAAGCATTTATTAAGTATTTGCTGTGTGTTTCATTGGGGATACAGAGTCAAAAATAATAATAGTCTTAGACCTCAAACAGTTTTATACTTTGATTCAATCACTTTCAGTCAGAGGGAATAGTATGTAATCAGTCTGTAAAGATAGACTGAAGCCTGATTGTGAAGGGCTTTAAATGCTGAACGTTTAAGAGTTTGTAGTTTACCCTAGACGCACTAGAGAGTGACTAGAGCTTCTTAAGCCAGGAAGGGACGTGGTCAGTCTTATGCTTTAAGAATTGAAGTTTGGCAGCTGTGTGGAGGTCAGGTTGGAAAAAGGAGACTAGAGGCAGATCAAGTAGACTATTGTAATAGTTGAGGCAAGACATCATGAAAACCTTAACTAGGGTTGTGACCATGTGGGTAGAGGATAGGAGATGAATATGTTGGATAGAGACACTACCAGTTATTAATGGCTTCTAAGAGTTATTCCAAATTATATATTATGCTGTTCCAGATTATACCATGACTTTATGAAAATGCCATCTATTGCATATTAGATCCCCAATTGTCAACTAGGTGGTTTTAATGGAAGGCACATATATTATTGAGAGGGCCCCAACTATTATAATGGGGGAAACAGCATGTTGTGGTAGAGCCGGGAAGACATAGTTTCAAACTCTGTCTCTTTCAGTTACCTGCGGTATGGCCATGGTCAAGTTATTAAACCTCTCTGAGCTTCAGTTTTTCTTTGTGTAAAATGGAGATGATCTCTCACAGGGTTGTTGGAAGGGTTTTAGGATGTAGAGAAACTGTGTATAGCAAAAATTCTAAATTGACATCACTCTTGAACATCCTTTTGATTTCTTATCAAGTACAACAGTGTGCCATTAAACAGTGATAGTTACAGGTATGGGCTCTTTAAAGGAAAGGTGAAATGGGTCTCAGATGGTTGCTATGGAAATAGCTGAATATCAGTTTTATTTTTCACTATACCCACTTAAGCTTTTGATCAGGAAAGATGTAATCAAGACATCTACTCAAAGGAAAAACCAAACCAAGCCATGTATTTAGAGGGGGAAAAGGCTTCTCACATAAAGGTGGTGTTAATAGAGGATGATCACACTACCACATAACCATTTCTTCTTCCTGTTTCACCATGAGGTAAGAGTGGCCTTAAAACAAAGGTAGCATTCATAGCAGGGATGTTCTAGCTGCCCAGGAAAGCTAGGAAAGCCGAGTACGGTGGATACTCTCCTTAGATCTACCAGCCTAAGTAAAACAGGTAGGCAATCTACAGAGAGGTAAAAGAAGTTCCAAATCACCTGCAGCAGGGTGCTCACACAATGAGAGGCTCATTCTGAGCCTCTTGCCCCGTTTACACTCATTGGGCATGAGGTGGGTAGAATTATTTAAATTGCCTTGTGCCTTTTTTTTTGCCCAAATGTCACATATTTGCATAGGTTAAATGTGTATATAACATAACTCCATAGTAAATACATATACATCTTGAAAATTTTGAGGTGCTATATATAAGTGCCAGGCACCATTTATCTGCTTTGTCTGGATTTTTCTTATGCTTTATTTGAATTCTATAGTGGGGAAGCATTATACAAATCCAGATAAATATTTCCCATTTATCTCATACACCTGGCTTGTAATTAGCTGTCATATTAATGTCCTGTGTATGTTTCTGTTGCAGATTATTAGAAGAACTCCTGGTTTCTTTGCAGTGGGGTAGACAACAGACTTACCATCCTAATGAACAACCCCACAGCACTGCAGAGCTAGCATCAACAAATCACAGATTGGCTGCAGCACTGAATTCCCATTTCCTTGGAAATGTTGGCACTAAGAATCTAAAAAAGGCTTCCCCTAAATTTGAATTTTGTAATACTCCAGCAGAGAAAATGGCTGAAACAGTAAGTTTTCACAACCATCAACTTTTGAGCTTTGAGAAAGGGGTCCTATGAGAGCCAGCAGTTGTTAGGGAGAAACATCAGACTTGAAATCAAGAGCCCTGGGTTCTAGACCTGGCTGTGCCACTAAGTCGTGAGAGGACCTTAGTCAAGGCACCCTTTGGGCCACTTTTTCCTCATCTAAAAATATGTAGGGGTAGAATGAATTATCACTTATCTCCAAGAAAGGGGGGCGGGGGGGACGTTTGATTCCTGGAGAGAATCCAGACAGACATGCTTATCTCATTTAATTTCTCTGGTTATAACATGGACACTTAATGTATGGTGTGTGATCACCTAGAACTTTTGCTGTTTCTCACTAACACCTTTGGGCATATTATTTCTTTTCTGGGAAAGAATTTTCTGAGCCAGGATGTTCCTCTCTGAGGTCTTTGAATCACTCTAGTTTTGCCTAACATTTTTTTCTGTTGAGTGTTGGGTGAAAAAAAAATATACCTATTGTACTATTGTACTTAAAATGATTTTATAGAGAGGCTAAAAAAAAACCATCGTACATGATTTTAAAATTATTATTGTTGTTGTTCAAACTCCTCACTCGACCAACCACAATACCCAGTGAAATACAAGTGTTTGTTTTAAGATGGGGGGGGAGAGAGAATTCATTAATTCCACCATGATTTGTTATTTATTGGACATTGTCTAGGTACATGGTACTGTAACTGGGCATCCTTGTTAATCTGTGAACTTTTTAATCTTCTTACCTAACACTTAACACTCATCTTGTTCATTAAATTATTAATAGTAGTTATATAGTAATAGCAATGAGGCTAAGAACTTTTAGAGCAATTCCTTTTCAATGTATCGTTTTTATTATCCTAATATCAAAACAATAATGTACTGCTTGCATCTGATCATAGCTTTTATTTCCCTTAGATTCTTCGAATTTTAGATCCAGCTACCTGTACAGAAAATTCATCTGAAATATTTTCAGAGTCTTCACCAGCCACTTTGCTTTCTACAAAAAAAAATATTGGGCGATTCCATCCATATACGAGATATGAAAATATAACTTTCAACTGCTGCAATCACTGCCAGGGAGAACTTATTGCCCTTTAAAAGAAATCAAATCAACATCTTCAAAATGTCCTAGAATCTCTTGTCATACTAGAGTTTTGGGGCTAGTCTTGTTAAGGTACCATGTAATGGCACTCTTTCTGCTTATATACTGGATTTCTCCAAAGAACTTCCATGTATCGAATTTTAGATCTTTTTCATAGTTATCTACTCAGGGTATAAAAAGCACAAAACTCTAAAAATATTAATCACCAATAATGCAAGCTTTCCAAAGCTTCATATTGTGCTTTCTTTAAAGTTTGTAGTCTTGGAATTCTCTTGGTAGTTGGGATTTTAAAATCTCCCCAAAATGGCTACATTGATTTTTACCAGTTTCTAGGTTCCCAACAAAGCATGGTCTTGAAAAATGTTTACCTTACTGAAAGGGAGAAGAATAAAGTGTAATAAGCTATATGTTTCTGAATAAATAATTGATAAGAAGGTGTGTTCAGCACAAAGTGTGCATATGATGTTAGAGGTTTTTCAGACTGTTGTGTAAGGCTGACAGAAAGAAGAGACAATTTTAACTATTAAACTGGACCGTAGCAAGTATGATACACAATATATTTTACTTGTTTTTTAAAAGAAATATTCCGGTCTTGATTTGTACAGATCTAAGTAATAGGACTTTAAGAAACCGTTTCAATTTGAAATATTCTGTGCAGCATGTATTTTTTAAAAAATTGTAATATAACAGACCATTACTATCTTTATAAACCCAAAGAAGGAAAGCAACCCATCAGTTTAAACTTTGTTTTCAGCATTGTATTATTATGTATCAATGGTTGACTCCTTAAAAACAGTTCTTATTTTATACCAGGGTACAAGGACTCATTTAAATTAGTCTCCTATGTAATTATACCAAATTATGCAGATGAGTTACAGAAGTGCCTATTAGAAGAGAAATCTTCACTGGTCAGGTATAAAAACAATGTGTTGAATATGTATGTTTTTGTCAACTAAATAATTGTTTCTGGCAGCAGTGTTTGGATTAATTTATTGTTTCAGATGGCAATAAATGCATTTATCTTCTGCAGTGGTAAAACTGCCTTGTTTATTTTTAATGTAATGTAATGTAACCATGGATGTTGGTGCTCTAAGTCAAAGCTTAATGTAGCTCAGAATGAGAACTGGTTCCTCCCCAATTGATTATCTCCTCTTCATAGCCTTTTAGCTGTGATTTTTTTTTAACATCTCTTTATATGCTTGTAATTGTTTAAACTGTGTGGCTAATCCTACTATAGGTGGGATAAGATAAATAATTCAGATGATAAAACTGATAGAAACTACTCATTTTTGACAGGAAAAATTATTTTTCATGATTATGTAAACCTCTGTTTGCATCACAGTTTCTGTTTTTGGTACTTTCAACTTAGATTAAAACATCAGTTTGATTATAAACAGCATTCTTAGAACCAGAAGTATCTCAAAGTACAAGATACAAGAAGTAGTCTGTTTCTTAGGGGCAAACATGTAAAGGTTGTCACTTTGAAATATGTAACTATCACAGAAATAGTACAACCAATTCATGCCAACATTTAAAAAAAGTTTTGAATGTGAATTTTAATTTGTGCAGTGAGCATCTTCCATTGAATTAACTTAAGCTTCAGTTTGTCATTAGCTTCACCATTTCAGTACTGGAGGTTTTTATAATAGTAGTGTAGACATAATCTTCACATTTATATAAATTACTCATTTACCATTTTATTAGAATCAGATGATTTCTAACTGCCTGCTTAACCTAGTTCCCAAATCTTGTGAAAAGCCTAGATTTTTCCCATCTTTTCTGAAGCCAAAATACATCTATATGTTGTCATCTTTAGAAAACTAGGTGATATTATACCCTCCAAGTTCATGGAATCATGCCAAAACAGCAACCATAAAGTATTTTTACATGGGTGTATAGCCTCAGGCAACTAAGTGGCACAGTGGATAGAGTGCTGGGCCTGGAGTCAGGAAGACACATCTTCTTGAGTTCAAATCTGGTCTCAGACACTTATTAGCTGTGTGACCTTGGGTAAGTCACCGAACCCTTTTTGCCTCAGTTCCTCATCTGTCAAATGAGTTGAAAAAGGAATGGAAAACCACTCTAGAATCTTTGTCAAGAAAATCCCAAATGGGGTCATGAAGAGACAGACATGACCAAAACAATTGAACAACAATTAGCTTCCCCTAACTATGGCTACTTTGGAGACATTCTGGAAACTCCATTAAGAAAACATAATCAAGATACCTATTTTAGAATATTTTTTATTCTTTACAAGTGTCATTCAGGAACTCCAAGAAAAGCTGTAACAGCCAAAGAAATTAAGGTGATATGCTTTGACATGAACCTCAATATATCACCTACAGCTGAGAGATCAAGAAGGTATTAGAATATGGCCATAGTTTGGCCGGAAAATTGTCCAGAAAGAGTCAAATTGCCTTGGACCAGTCACACTCACATACCATTGACCAACAGTCTAACAATGAGGCAGGTGTACGTGAAGATTAGAGCAGAAATGTTTGCATGATACTAGTTTCAACAATCACATCATAATGGTGGATTCACAATGAAGAGTGAAGAGAAACATAATATCAAACATTAAGGAACATTAGAAGCCATCTACTCCAATCCCCTCATTTTACAGGTGAGGAACAGAGGCCATGAACAGGTAAGTGATTTGTCCAAAATAACACAAGCAGTATTGAATTTGAACCCCGCTCTTCCTGATGCTCAGGACCACGACATTATCCATTACACTATATTGTCTCTCAAGTCTGCAACAACAGAACATGCAACAAAAAGACCGTGCAGAATCTACGAGATCTCATGATAAATATCAATCACATTAATATACCATCGTTGTTTTACAATTCACTTTCCTCATAACAACCCTGTGATGTAGCTAATGATTGTCCCAATTTTACAAATAAATGAAGAAGGTCAGAGATATTAGGTGACATGCCCGAAGACTCAAATCTAGATCTTTTGATTAAAGAGCTCCATATAAAGAATTGGTAGAGGCATTAGTGGGTAGCAAGGAAGACAGATAAGAGGTGAACCATCTAAAAAATTAAATACTTAAGGGCCACAATGAGCTGACTAAAGGCTAAGATCTAGGTAGATAAAGAAAGTGGTCAAGCTGTTTAGACAAGACCACAAAAATGGAAATTTTGAATATAAACATTTTTATCATTTTCTATAGTTTTTTTTTCATTTATTTTCCTTCTGGTTTTTAACATCTACTTTGCTTTATTTTAGGTTTATTTCTTGGCTTTCTAAATTTTTAAATATATATTCAGTTATTTAATTCTCCTTTCATTTATTATGTTTCTGGGGATATAATTTTCCCCTTTAGGACTGCTTTAGCTTCATCCCAGAAATTCTGGTATGATAATTCATCAACATTTTCTTTGAAATAATTATTGTTTCTATGATTTGTGTTTGACCCACTCATTATTTAACATTCATTGTTACATCTTTATCTGGGTCTATGCCTTTTGTTGGTATTCATTAAACTGATTACTATTTGTATTATGCTGTGGCCTTTAAAGAATGTTTACTATTTCTGCCATTTTACATTTATTTGCAATATTTCTGTGCCCTTCTATATGGGCAATTTTTGTAAAAGTTCTACAGGGTCCTGAGAAAAGTATGTATTCTCGTACAGCCCCATAAGTTGTCATAAGTCTTTTAGCTCTCCTTTCTCCAGAAATTTGCTAAATTCTGTTTTTTCCTTTTTGCTCATTTTTGTTAGATTAGTCCAAAACTGAGAGAGGGACACTGAAATCTATCACAATATTACTGTCTTTGCTTGTATTCAATTAAATTTTCCTTTATTAATTTAGATGCTAAAGCATTTGGAATGTAAGATTAATATTGATAATGGGATCTACAATTCCTTTCAGCATAATGTACTTCATCTTACACCTGTTGTGAATTTTTGGTTTGGTTTTGTCTGACTGATTACAGCCTACTTTTTTTTGATTCACCAATGCATAGTAAATTTTGTTTCTGCCTTTTGTTTTTATTGTGTCTGTTTTTAAGGTGTGTTTCTTATAAGCAACAAATTGTGTTTTTTTAATTCAGTCTCTTTTTCATTTTATTGGATTGCTTAATCCATTCACACTTAAAGTTATGATAGGTCTCCATTTTCCTCCATTTGCCTTGGATGTTGGGCTTTTGGATTGGTCTGTTCTTCTTTCTCTGTAAAGAAGGTACTTTGTCCCTTCAGTTATTTTTTCTTAATTTAAGGCAACCCCATTCCCATCAGCTCTCTTTCCCTTACCCTCAACCACCCTCTCCCTGCCAATTTGTTACTCCTTTCCTTAGTTTAGCTTATTAATTTTGCTTTCCCTTTAATCTACTTATCTAATTCTTAACATTTATCAAATTATTAAGAAAAATTATCTAGTCTAATTCTTCCATACTTTTTCTCAGTTGTCAGGTAAAATCCCTTTTCCCTTTCAGCTCATTTTGTTTTGAAATTTTATTTTCTGCACCTTTTTCTAAAAATATTTCTTTCCCTCATTCATTATTTATATTCATTTCTTGGCCTTTATTCTTTGACTGATGGCTTTATGCTTTTATTCTTATTTCTTCCTTCTTTAGTCTCCATATTCCTTTTGGAATTAAACCTTGGGAGGTACCTATTTTGAGTTCCCACTTGCTTCTAAACAATTTCCGTTGTTGCCCTGAAGATCTTGTCCCCTAACTTCCCTTTTCTAGCATTTCCTGTAGACAGAAGACAGAAGTGTCACCCTCTGAGAGGTATTTTCCATGTCCTTGATTGCAGTTTATTATTACCTTTAGCTCTCCCCATTTTTTGCTCCATTTGCCACGAAATCTCCACCTTGGAGTCATGCCCTCCCAACTCTTTTGGGGATCAGTTGCCCAGGACCTCTGATTTCCCTTCTCCTGAGGCAAAGATGAGTGACCTAAGCGCCAAATCCCTATAGATTATATCCACTGTAATTTCCTCGTCTCCCATTATACGATCTCTCTCTTCCTCTATATAAGTACTCAGTGAGACACTTTCGCATGACTGAAACAAGCTTTCTCTCTCCCTTTGCTTTCTCCTTTGCCCTTTCTTTTGTACCCTCCTCCTTCACGAAAGACTAAGTTATTTTCTCTTCATTGTTAACCTTTGATTTGATCAAGGCATGTCACATATTCCCCTCTGTCTTCTTCCTCCCTTTTCCCCTTTTATTCACCCTCCCACTCTGCAGTTTAGTCCCATTTAAAAAAAAAAAAAGATTCACCTGTAGGTGAGGTGTTGGGAGTTTTATAAAATCCGTGGAATTTGAGGCCTCTTCTTCATCGAGCTCCACTTCCACTCTTCTCCCTTGGTGTGCCTTGATAGAGCAATCTCCTAATGGTCCCTCTGTTATTTGTTGTTGTTATTGTTGTTTTTAACCTCATAGGTGACTTTCCTCTCTAGGTCTTCTTCCCTCAAATTTTCCAGAATAATTTGTTATTTGTTCCTACCTGGGTGGCTGTCTTTGTTTACCTTTCTAATATTTCTGTTGTCTGAGATGTTTGCAAAGCAAATAATCCGCTCATGTTTAGTTTCTTTATAGGAAAGCTACAAATGCCTCTTTTTAATTGAATGTCCATCTTTTTTCATTAATGGTTAGGCTCAGGTTTGCAGGATATATCACTTGGGTTGCATCTTGGGTTCCTTTGTTTCTTGTAACACATTACTCCATTCCCTTCTGAGGTTTCTGTCAGGGGCAGAATAGTTATATCATTCAGTCTATTTGAAGGTCTCTCTCCTAGTCACCTGCAGAATTTTCTGCTTGTCATTAGAATTATTAAATTTAGCCCATATGCGTCTTGGACTTTGCAGCATAGGTTTGGAGTGTGTGTGTGTGTGTGTGTGTGTGTGTGTGTGTGTGTGTGTGTGTATTTTCCTGGTTTGGAGTGTGTGTGTGTGTGTGTTTTCCTGAAAGAAAACAGTGGATTAGCACTTTGTATGTTCAGAAGTTCTGCAGTTTCCTTGTATTATTTCTTCCATTATGGGATTCAGGTTTTTAGACTTATGTTATTCTGAGAGATCTATCATCCTTACATTATATCCATTCTGTCTGCAAAATCAACGTTTTGCTTGTCTAGAGATCATATTTTTGCTTCTCTTCTGATTGTCCTATTATTTGCATTCCTAATAAGTTCTCTCTCTCTCTCTTTTTTTTTTTATGAGGTTTGCCACCATGGACTCAAGTATTTCTCTTCTGTAAATTATTTCTGCTATGCAGGCTATGAGTTCTGTTCTCACAATTCTTATTTGTATTTTAAGCTATTCAAAAACATCCTTCTGTGGTTTCACATTCCCTTGGGAATCTACAGGGTCTTTGGCCTCATCATTGGCTAATTTTCATTTGTCTTGCAATAATTATTCATAGATGTCATTCCCATCTGTTATTATATCTTTTTTGTTGATTTATCTGCTTATGCTCAAGGTCTTTAACTGAGTTTTCTTCTCCTAAGATCTTTGGCAATTTCAGTCGTTTTTCCTTGTATTCGTCTACTGCTCCCTTTCTGACTCCTTCCCCTCTGGGGACAGTTTCTCCAGGGGGAATGAGTCTCAAAGATTTCTCAGCTTCCTCCCACAATGAGGAATTCACACTTCACTAGCTTCAATCTCTGCCTCAGGTGACAGAATGATTACAGGTGGATGCCAGTCTTCTTCAGGCACTGTGGAATATTACACATGTTGACATTCCACCTCCCTTGTCTCTCCCTACCTCTCTAGCTGAGCTTTGGTGTAACACAGAATGCTACCATGCTATATTTCATGCCAGACCAATATTCTGGCATGAGGAGTGGAGATGAGGCAGAGTTGAGTTGTAGCAAGCCTGGATCAGCCTATGGGTATACAGTTCTGCCATACAGTGTCGGTCACTAGGGGAGGAGGACATTGAGTGACTGAATTAGGGATTAGCTTTTTTTACTGTTAGTTCATCTGGTTGTTACCTTATTAGGATTCTTGGTGTCTTAGACAGTGGAGGCAGGTGAAATTTCTTTATCTCTTGCACCTAATTCCTATTTTGGAGAGGTTTGAGAGGTTGGGAGGATTGAAGAAAGTGTCTAGTCCTCTATCTTGTTGGTCTCATGACCTAGACTGAGATAGCCAAAAGACAGGTTGATGATTTAGGACTAGAACTCAGTAAGATGACTACAGCTGGATAGATTTGGGGAACATTTGCACAGATGTGGTAACTGAACTCATATATAGCAGCTACGATAACCAAGTGAGCTTGAGAAGAGGAAAAAGAGAAGAGGGACTGGGACAGAGGACTGGAAAATACTTACTGTTAAAGGGTGTGGCATACTGAAACAACCCTCAATCTGTTTCATGAAATGTTTTAGTACACAAGTCATAAAGTAGCAAGAGGGGAAGGTGGGGCAGACCTATGATTTCACTGATATAAGGCACTCCCAGTGAGAAAACTCTCTCTACTAAGGCACAACAATGTGTAGTCTGCCCAGGACCAACAGATCAGTTTGCACCAGAGGCAATACTTGTACCCAGGTCATCCTCACTCCAAGGCTGGCTCTCTATCCACTAAGCCAAGGTGCCTTAAAATGGCATTATGGTGTTTTCAAAGCAATAAATTATTTTAAGTTTTTTTTAATAATTGTTAGTCCAGTAAGTTAAAACTAGTGAAAATGGATTTCATTCATCTTGTTCCATTTAATTTGTTTGAAACAATGCATGTGGAATACTTTACAACAGTGAAATAAAAGGCATTTATTCAGTTCTAGGATTTTAAAAAAATAGATAAATTCACTGTCACTGAAGGATGAATATATTTTCCCATCATTTAGGATATGACCAAAGCACACAGACCAGAACAAGGAATGACATCTGCTGCTGCGAGGGGAAACTGGCTACCAATGTAAAGATCCGGTGCAGACAGGAACCTTCAACTGTAATGATTGGTGAAACGAAAGGGCTTAGTTTCTGAAATGTTGTAAAGAAGGTTCTGCAGCTGTTTGGATCGCCGGGCTTCGATGCGCAGCTGCCTGGCTCTCTCTTTGGCAGCCTGCTGTTCGGCCAGCTTCTCTATTCGTTTTCTTTTCAGCCATCTGGAAAGACACAAAGACATTTTGTGGGCATCTAAAAGGACTATGTTAAATGCACCAACCCTCCCCAAAATGGAAGGAACCTGGCATTGACTTAAAATAAATAAATATATTAAATTGAAAAGTTTTTGCACAAACAAAGCCAATGCAACTAAGATTAGAAGGAAGGTAGAAAACTGGGAAAGAATTTTTGCAACCAGTCTCTCTGATAAGGGCCTCATTTCTAAAATACATAGAGAATTAAGTCAAATTTATAAGAACACAAGCCATTCCCCAATTGATAAATGGTCAAAGGATATGAACAGACAGTTCTCAGATGAAGAAATTAAAGCCATCTATAGTCATATGAAAAAATGCTGTAAATTACTATTGATTAGAGAAATGCAAATCAAAACAACTCTGAGGTACCACATCACACCTATCAGATTGGCCAACATGACAAAACAGGAAAATGATACATGTTGGGGAAGATGTGGGAAAATTGGAACACTAATGCATTGTTGGTGGAGTTGTGAAATGATCCCACCATTTTGGAGAGCAATTTGGAACTATGCCCAAAGGGCTATAAACATGTACATACCCTTTGACCCAGCAATAGCACTTCTAGAGCTAAATCTCAAAGAGATCATACAAATGGCAAAAGGACCCACATGTACAAAAATATACATAGCAGCTCTTTTTGTGGTGGCAAAGAATTGGAAATTGAGAGGATGCCCATCAATTGGGGGAATGGTTGAGTAAGTTGTGGTATATGAATGTAAGAATACTACTGTGCTATAAGAAATGATGAACAGGCTGACTTCAAAAAAACCTGGAAAGACTTGTATGGTCTGATGCTGAGTGAAGTGAGCAGAACCAAGAGAATACTGTACACAATAACAGCCACATTGTGTGATAACTAATATTGATAAACTTAGCCCTTCCCAGCAATACAAGGATCTAAGACATCTCTAGAGGCTTTATGACAGAAAATGCTATCCACATCCAAAGAAAGAACTATGGAAGTTGAATTGCTATCTTTTTTTCCCTCTTCTGTTGAGTTCTGGTTCCTCTTTCTAATGGTTCCTCCTATTGGTTTTAATTTTTTACTTAACAACTTCAATAATGTGAAAATATGTTTAATAGGAATGTAAATGTATAGTCTATATCAGATTGTGTGCCGTCATGGGGAGGGTGGTGGGGAAGAAGGGGGAGAAAAATTTTAAACTCAAAAGCATATGGAAATGATTATTGATAAATCAAAATAAATTAATAAAAAAATTAAATTGAATTTAAAAAATTAAAAAAAATAGTCCCAGGAGAAGATATTAGGCTCTAATTTTCTCAAACATCTACTTAGAAAGGAAACCAACTGTTGCCATAGTTTACATTGGATTCAAATGTTCAGAAATTTCATCCTATGACACTGCCAATTTAGGGAACATTTTTATACTAGAGGCAAAGGACTTTATAGATTTCTTTCTTCAGGGGAAATTTATATACACACATACACACATATACACATACATATTAGACACATATATACATACATGTGTATATACAATGATATATATATACACACATACATACATATACATATATATGTACACATACACATATATGTGGAAGTGACTCCAAAAATTTAAGCGTATATAATCAAATAAGTAATTTTTTGCAACTAACTATTCTTTAAACTTGAGTAGCCAAATCAGGAAATCAGCAGAAAAGGTGAATAAAAACTAGACATTTTTTCAAATGTTGACTTGCTTTTTATAGTAGGAAAGTGAATAGAATCATAGTTCTTCTTGTGCATAAAATACATTTGTGCTGCCTTACAGAAGGGAAAAATATGAAATGTCTAAAAAGGACTAAAATACTGATAAGTACTAAATTAAAATTTAGTAATAATGGCTAATCTGTAGAGGCCACTTGCATAAAATACTGCCAAAATGGCAACTGAAGACATCATCCAATCCAACCTACTCATTTACATATGAGAAAACTGAAGCCAGGAGGTTACATGACTTGACCAAGGTCAAAGGTACAATAAGCAGGGCTGAAATTAGAATCTCCATCTCTGAACTCTACATCCAGGGTTCTTTCCATTATACCATGCTACCTCTGGGAAGTGAAGGGGAAAATCTGCATTTACTGTGCAAACTGGCCTTTCCAATCTCTGCCTTTCTTTGAATGCCACCTTTAAACTTTTGCTGGACTCTGCAGGTACCTCAGGCCTATGAACATCTCTTTAACCTTTCAAAGCCTAATTCCTTCATACACTCAATATCTCTATATCCTCACCTCCCCTTCGCCATATGGATTCCAACCCCACTCCTGGCTAGAACTGCTATTTCCTAGGCTACCAACACTCTCTTAACAAGAAAACCTCAAGGCCTTGTCTTAGCCTTCAATCTACTCATCTCAGCAGCTCAGACAATGGAGAGTCAAGGAGGTTTCCTTGACTCTTCCCACTCATTCAATCTCATATCTATTCAGTTAACAAGTCTTAGCAATTCTTCCTTTACAATATCTCTAGCATCCAACCTTCTTCTAGACACATTTCTTCTCCCTCTGCTTCCAGACACTGCTTCCCCTATCTGAGTGATTACTCCTCAGTCTTATTTACATTCTCCTCCCACCCACACCCACTGTGTGGACAATCCCCAAGTCTGGGTCCTGGGCCTCCATTTCTTTCACTCTATATACACTCTCAGTTGGTGATCTCATCAGCTCCTACAGATTCAGTTTTCATCTCTATAGAGATGACCATCAAACCTATGCATCCAAGGGGCAGCTAGGTGGTGCAGTAGATAAAGCTCTGGCCTTTGAGTCAGGAGGACCTGAGTTCAAATCCAGCCTCAGACACTTGACACTTACATTTACTAGCTGTGTGACTTAACGCTGATTGCCTCACCAAAAAGCAAAAAAAAAAAAATATCTACGCATCCAACCCTTCCTTATCTCTCTTTTGAACTCCAGTTTTGCATCACAAACTGCCTGTTACAGATCTATTTGGACTTCTTTAAGCATCTCTAATACAATGGGTTCAAACTCATTATCTTTCCTCCTAAACTTACCCCTCCAGCTTCCTCAGAAATTCCCTTCTGTTGAATCCACACCATCCCTCCAAGTCACTTGGATTTTCAATTTTAGAGTTTTACTTGATTTTTCCCACCCAATCAATCCCATATCTAATTAGTTAACAAGCCTTACCAATTCTTCCTTTACAATATCTCTTGCATTCAATCTCTTTCATCTCCACTGATGACCCACCCTAGTTCAGGCACTCCTCATCTCCTATCTGAAATATTGTAATAGGGTCCTAACTGCTCCCTTGGCTTCAAGCCTTCCCTTTCTCCTATCCGTCCTCCACTTAGGGGCCAAAATGATTTTCCTTATGATCAGGTCTGACCATGTTACTCCCCTACTCAATAAACTCCAGTTGCTGCCTACTACTTCTAGGATAAACTATAAACTCTTCTGTTTGATTTTCATAGCCCTTCATAACTTGGCCCCAACCTGTTTTATTATATTTATTTATTTACTTATATGTATATTTATTTTTATATTTTATATTTATATTTATTATATTATTCTCTCTCCAGCAAAATTGGTCTTCTCTCTGTTCCCCACACACAGCACTCCGTCATCTCCCCCCTTCATATGCCTCTGCACCAGCTGTCCTCTATGCCTGGAATACAGACACCCCCCCCAACCCCTTGCACCCACTTCACTGAATCCCCATCTTCATTCAAGCACCACCTTCCATGTGAAGCCTTTCAAGCTGTTTCAGATTTCCCCCAGCCCAAAGCTAGTGTCTCCCTCCCTATTTTTTATACACTCACAGATGTACATCACCCTTGAAGAACTTTAAGATCTTTGAGAGAAGGGACTATTGCATTCTTTGAATCTTCAGTGCCCCACACAGTGTGCGGCCTATGGTAGACACTTCATAAGTGTCTCTCGGTTGGTTGATTGGAGACTTTCACAATGGGGCTCCAAACAGTTTTTCTCCCTTCTCCTACATACTTTATATTTGAGGCAAAATGACCCATTTGCTGCTCTCTCTACACTGTTCCATCCCCTGCCTTTGCACAAGCTGTCCTCCATTCCATGGCATGTTCACCCTGCTCAATTCTGTCCCTTGGACCTCCACACTTCCTCCAAGGCCCAGCTCTGGTGTCACCGTCTGCCTACAAAAGTCCCTTCATGATCCCTCTCGCTGTTAGTGATCCTCCCCCTCCCCCAAATCCTTCTGCATACATCTGTATTGACTTACCCTCCAGGAGACTGGAAGCTCCTCGAGAGAAGGACCTACTCTAGGCTTGCAGGGCTCCAGCATGCAGCATGATTCCTGGCACGCAGCAGGTGCTTCACAAATGCTTGTTGAATTGAATTTCAATGCTATTTGAATATTTAACATTTCCATCACCTCTATTTGTCCTAACCTTCAAAAGCCATCATTACCAATAGCTTTGTGTTCCAGTATCCTAAATCCAAGCCTTAGTATTTTTTCCAAAATATTAAAGAAACTCATTACTCTAGGTAAGTCATTTATTCCTCTCTGGGTCTCAGTTTCTTCACAGGTAAAAGGGAGGGCAGAGTTCAATGATCTCTTAGGCTCATTTCAAGTCAAATATTATGGTATATAAAGTGTGGACCTATATTTTAGGAGATAAGTTAGACTTTAGTCCAGATTACATATAGTAAATTCACATTTATCAACACTAGCATTTTCCAAACTGTGCTCCACAGGACCTGTGTATTCCATATTACTGAAAAAATGATTAGATGAGAGGATTTTCATGCTATTTGCCTTCAAAAATACCAAATACGATATCTTATAACAAAGATAGTAATTACAATCTAATAATTTTTCATTATGAAAAAATGCTTTCATTTCCCCTTCTTCGCATAAAACTTCCCCTTCACACCTCTTTATCCTGGAAATATTCTATAGCTCAATGTCTCTTGGGCCAGTATCTGTGAATTTCAGCAATATATTTCAAGGCCTCAAATATCCCATGGCCATATTAGTCCACAACACTCTGCTCTAAACCAGTCGCCTTCCCTTAGCCTTCTCCAGGTTAAATAATCCCAAGTACTTAATTTCTCCAAGGAATATGTATCCTGCAACCCTCTAACTGTCTTTCTGACTCTCTTTCGAACCTTTTTCAAGGTCTTCTCTTTTCCTTCTAGTTTTGGAAGTCAGAACCAAACAATTCTCTAGTGAGGGTCTAACCAGAGTATTACAGGAAGATGACCTCATGGTCCTTCCAAGCTACACTGTTACTTATGGTATGTGTTTGTTAACCTCAGGGTTGCATCCAGTAGGCCTTCATTTTAATATAGTACCTCACAATCTCAGACGATCCCTTATGTAAATAAGGTAAGGGGCAAAATGAATACATTTTTAGACCTAATATGTTATTTGATTCACTGAAGCTTTATTCTTTATGGCAGATTAGGCTAGGTCCTTCAGTACTATGCCAGAAGAAACTAAATTCTGGAAATAGACACCAAGCTGGAAAGTCTTCAACTACAGGACCCAAAGATTCTGTGTCAAATGTAAAAGGACCAACAGAGCTAAGTTCAAAGATGTAAGATGCAATAGTAAGGAGTTTCCACACTAATTAATCAGTTTCTTTAAATTCCAAAGTAATTTACCAAAGGAGTAAGAATGCCAACACATACCCCTCTCCTTTCACTTACTGTTTAAATGCCCTGTCACGGCCTTCTGCCCCTCTAAGAAAGAACAAACACTCCTCCTGTCGCCTCAGTTCTTCAATCTGTCTTTCTTTAATCTGTTCTTCATGCTTTTTTTTAAGCCACAATCGGAAAGCTTGCTGTGGATCTCTGTTTTCTTGCTGTTGGGGAAAAAAATTTCAAAAAGTCTATCAAGTGAAAATGTTTATCTGATTCACATCTATAAGAATGACAGCCATTTACAATAGACAGATACTAAAAGGATGTCAACAGACAGTTCTCAAAGGACAAAACCTGAGATACGAACATCATGTGAAAAAAATGTCCCAAATCACTAATAATTTGAGAAGTACACATTAAAACAACTATAATGTTCTAACTCATACCTATCATATTGGCAAAGATAATGAAAAAGGAAAATGATGATTAGACAGGCACGTTGTTGCACTGTGTGGACAGAGCTGTGAATTAGTCCAGCTATTTGGGAAATCAATTTGGAACTATGCCCCAAGAGTCACTAAACTGCTCACACCCTCTAAATACTCAGTGACAGTAGGCCCATTTTCCAAAAAGAGCAAAGAAAGATTAAAAAAATTCACAGGTACAAAATATTTATGACAGCTTTTGTTGTAGCAAAGAGCTAAAAACAAAGAGGGTGAGTACCCACCAAATGGGGAAATGGCTAAACAAATTATGGTATATGAATGTAATGGAATATTGCTTAGCTTTAAGACATTCCAGAAATGTGGGACAGCTGGTGAAAAGGCACGGAATAAGGAGACAGTGATATCAAGTGCTGGGAGCAGCAAGAAGAGTATTGCTGGATCACAGAGTGCATCGAGAGGAGGTAAAGCATCAGAAGACTGGAGAGGTAGGAAGCAGCTGTGCTGTCAAACAAAGCGTTTCATATTTGATCCCAAAAGTGAAAGCTCACTGAACAGGGCAGTGACATGTCAGACTGGCACTTTAGGAAGCTTGTTTATTTTTGCAGCTGAGAGGAGGATGGACTGGAGTGGAAAGAGACTTGAGGCAGGGAGATCCACCTGCAGGCTACTTGCAACACTCCAGGTGTGCACTGAGAATGGCCTGCACCAAGGTGAAGGCTGTGTGAGTGAGGAGACAGAGACGTGTATGAGAGGTCTGGAGAAGGTAGATGTGGCAAAGGAATGAATGCAAGTAAAAAGTCAAGGATGACATTGAAATCGTGAGCCTGTATGACTGTGAGAATGGCGGTGCTGTCAACAGTAATAGGGAAACTGAAGAGAGAGGGGAGAGTTTAGGGAAAGCTCAGCAGTTCTTTGTTGGATGTGGTGAGCTCAGAGTCCCTATAGGACATTCCATCTGAGATGTTAAAGGCAGCTGGTGATGTGGGACTACAGCTCAGGAGAAAGGCGGAGGTGGCATATATAGACCTGGGAATCATCTGCATGGAGATAATAACTGACCCCATGGGAACAAAGGGGAGCACTAACCAGAGATAATTTATATAGTAAATGTAGCATTGTCAAGAAAACCACCCACAAAAGACTTAACAACTGAATGATGCAGTTCAGCCATGACTGTGGAAGACTGATGAGAAAGAAGCAAGCCAGCTTCTGACAAAGGAGACACTGGACTCAATGGGCAGAATTAGACATACATCTCTGGACATGGTGATGTCTATATTGTTCTGCTTATTTGATTATTTGTTTAAAAGATTATTTTATTCAGGGGAATTGGAATAGAGGGAGCAACTGGCAATAGGATTGGCAAAAAATGAAGGCAAGAGCATCACTGAGGCATTTTTTTCAAAGGACAAAGTAACTGAAAGAAGCTCAGGAGGAAAAATAGACAAGCAGGACAGATTTGAGAGCAGCATCTGTCTGCCTCAGTTTCCTCAACTGTAAAATGGGAATAATATTGGCACCTACCTCCTAGGACTGTTGTGAGGATCAAATGAGATCATGATGGTAAAGTGCCTAGCACAGTGTCTCGCACATAGCAGGAACTATATCAATGTAACATACTTGGCCTTCTAGGCAGTGGGGGCCAGTGCAGCAAGTGCTACACTGAATTGCTTTGTTTTTCCTCTTTTAATTTTTTTTTTTTGTAATAAGGGAAGGCTGGGAAGTGAAGGGGTAGTGGAGGGCGGGGAATATATTGGGAAATGAAGGTGATTTGAAAACAAAAGCTATCGATTTTTTAAAAGATGCATTTAGCATCAAAAAATTAAATAAGTGCTTATTTCCTTCTTTGCTTCCTCTTTTTCTTTCCTCCATGCCAGGCTCATCTATGCTCTGTCACTAGTTCCTGCCCTGGCAGTCAGTATACCTTTTTGCCCCAGTACTAGATTCAAGCCCATCTGTTCTTACTGCTCACTTTTGATTGAATTGGCCCCTCTAGCCATATATTTTTAACTTCTGAGTGGGTTTTGTATTCAAATAAGCCTAGAAATGCCACAATGCAAAAAAAAAAAAGTCTAACACTTCAAGGGTTTACTAGGCTTGTGGGAATTAATAACAGCAGGCTAAGCAGTCAGGGGCAGCAAAAAGCCCAGGTTGGAGACTAAGGTCTAGAGCTAAGGAAAGCTGACTGGCTGCCAAGTAGCTCAAGTCAAGCCACAAAATGTGAGGAAGAATGCTCAGATGCCAGAAGCAGGGCCGAGGGTAAGAATGCTCACAGAGAAACCCCTAGAAACCTATGACCCTCTTGGTATCTCGTGAGCATGGCTGTATTTTGAAGGTCATGGTGGCCCTTTTGGTGCTGCCCTCTCTTGTGCTTAAAAATGACTTGTGACTGGGCTCTGACGCGGGGTCTGGTAAGATAGATCAATATCACAGCTAGAACACAGGAAAATATTCATTTCATCTCACCCCACAATTAACCACCAATTAATACTAAATGCTGCCAGGAGAAGTCCCTTCCAAAAATAATGGCAAAATTCTTTATTTCTTCAGTTTGCATTATAATGACCTTAGCTTCTGCTCTTAAATTTTTTTAATAAAGATTTTTCCTAGTATCAGTAGTTTAGGGCTTCTGCTCATATGTAGGTCCTCGCACATATTTGTTTAATCATTTTTAGTCATGTCCAACTCTTTGTGACTCCTTTTAGGGTTTTCTAGGCAAAGATACAAAGATTTCCTTCTCTAGCTCATTTTACAGACAAGGAAACTTATCTGTAACAGGGTTAAGTGACTCGCCCAGGGTCACATAACTAATAAGTGTCTGAGGCCAGATCTGAATTCAGGTCTTCCTGACTCCAGCCCTGGTGTTCTATCCACTGCACCACCTAGCTACCTTTGAAAATATTAGCTGCTTAATAAATACTTCTTAAAGAATGATCAAAGCATAAGTGGATCTGGGGCCTGAATTATCCAAACATTTGCTCTTCACTTTGGCAAAAGAAACCTAAGCTCTAAATGTCAGGATACTAAGATAAAAGATGCTTTGGAACATAATAGAGATTTAAACTAATTCTGTCACTAGCTTGTCAGCTGATCCTGAAGTGTCTAAAATGCCTGGTGCCATCAGCTTACAGGTAAAACATAATATGTATCTTCATTCACATAAGAATAAAATATTTACCTCACACTTAATAAAACATCAGCTAATTTGTATTTGTGTGTGTGGATGTTACAACTAAAGACCAATTCCAAATAACTGGAAAAATAACACTAATTGGGGTAACAGTCATACCTCTCTTGTCAAATCCAAATATTTGCTTTTATACACTCTTCTTTGATTAAGAACTTTAAGAGGTTTTTAATCAGAAACATAAATACAAGAATTTTATGTATCATCCAGTTCATATTCAAGAACCAGGCTTATATATACAACTGAATGTGTGGTCATCTGAAAGCAAGGCATAAAGCATTATTTAAGCTAACACATCTAAAAATGATTATGCTTCCCAAGAGACATATATACAACTATATTTCCTTCTCCATAAAGAAGAACAAATCACTTTTCTAATAGTTTTCTGCTATATACATTAAAACAATTTGGTCTGAGTGTGGGCAAAGTGATACGGTGGATATGGAATTGAAACGGATGTCAGGAGGCAAGCTGGCCCCAATTCTACCAAGTGTGAACCTGAAGCAAATCACTTTACCTGTCTAAGCCCCAGATTCCTCTTCTATCTGAAGATAGTAATATCTCAACATCCTTAGTTGATGAGATGATAAATGTAACAGAACTTAGAAAAATATAAAATACTTTAAGCACAAATTTAAAATAGTATTATACGTGTCAATACAATTTGGGCAGTAGGTCTAACAATCTTCTGCTTGAATTATTAAGATGACTGCCCTTGCTTATCCACTCAAATTTGGGAGTAGAGAAAAACCCGATTTGGTATAGATATAGGACTACTTGGAGGAGAAGATAATTTTTTCCCCTTTTCATTTATTTATAACAAGCCAAAAGAAACTGAGTAGTAAAAAGTTAAAAACAGAACTATAGTGAATCTGGGCTGTTTGAGCCTAAAATTTAATAAAACCAAATAGAAGAAAATGAGTACTCTAGTTTTTCCTGAATAGTTTAACATAAAGAGCAATCAGGTGAGATTGTAGCCATGTTCCCATTATTAAACTTGTATACTCATTACAGTAGTGAATCATTAGTCAAGGAGAGAGATTAAATTAAGTCTTTCTCCTACTCCGGGTCTTGTGACTCCTTAATAAGGTACTATTTATATGTACTTGATGACTGGACTTTCAAAAGATTGTCAACTCCAAGAGAGACACAAAGAATCTGAAAGGTCATAAAAGCACAAGACAGATCATCAAAGTAATAGCTTATTGTAGCTAATACAGTAGAGCATTCATTATCAAAGGCTATTAACTACTCAAAAACTACAGCTTTTTTTTTTTAATTGGGTCTCCCAATCTCACTTAGGCTGAAGTATAGTGGCCTCTCATAGGCCTGATACCTCTACTGATCAGCTCAGAAGGTCTGACCTGCTCCCTTTCTAACCTGGGCCATTGTACCCCTCCTCAGGCAGCCTGGTGATTCCCAACTTCCAGAGACTTACCATATTGATGCCAGACTAAGTGCAGACACTGCTTGGCTTAGCACACTGAAGCTCAGAACTCTCCAACTCAAGCAATCCATTAGCCTCAAACTCCCTGACAGCAAGGATTATAGGCATTCAACACCATGCCTGGTCTACAACGGTCGTTTTAAAAAGGCTAAGGAAATCTCATCTCTTTAGAGGTAATTAAATGATACTGGCCATCAGTCTTTCTTCCTTTGTCCCTTCACAATTTGTTCTGAAATGCCTAAGCATTTCATAGCTATACACCTTTAATTTTTTTTTTAACTAAAAACATTTACATCGTGGAACCAGAGGAAAGGGGCAAATTTCATACCAATGGTAAATGAACATTCTTAGATATTTCTCTAGTACTAGCAATAAAGCAACAGGCCCCAAAGAAATTTAATGAGCTGTGACTCTCCCTCCGGTTAATCTTTTTAGAAGGGTTCCAGGAAATTTGTTTATCACATATGCTTTAGCCAAACATTCCTGTTCTCTTGCATTAGTACTGTGGGGAACAATAAGAAAGGACAATTTATATGAAAATAAGCTAGTAGGGTTGTAAAAATAGGTCAGAGTCAATGCAAAATATTGTAGCCAGAGAAACATTTTTATGGATACAAAAATCAACTGAAACTACGACTTGTTTCAGCGACCTAGATGATGGGTTTTTATCAAGTAATGTATCCAAAAAGTTTAACAGAATCACACACACCATTGCAACTGAATTGTGTTTGAGTCTTTACAGTAAGAGGACTAATATTAAAGAAGATAGGATGTAATATCATCTTGCCTCCTATGCCAGACGCTGTCCACTACTATATATACATCACCACCTCAGGGTCTCTAAACTAATCCCGCAGCTCCACTATCCTAGGGACTCTTCTCTTTGCACCAGTCCCAGGCTACTGGAAGAGGTCTATCAGACAAACACACTGTCCTCTGTTCCCTACCAGTCTCACTCAGAGCCAAAGATTTAAAAAGCTTTAACACAAAAGAAGACAAGATTGACTTTTTCATGATGCGGTATGAAATACCAAAGGCCAAATAAAAATCTCTGTTTATAAAAGCATCAATGAAACTTTCAGTGATATGAACATATTAATAAGTATCAACGTAGTACAGTTGAAAGAGTGCTTACTGTCTCTGGAGTCAGAGGACCTGAGGTCAAAGCCTAAATTTGATGCTTACTATCAACATGAACTTGGGCAAGTCACTTAACTTCACTAGGCCTCAGTTTCTTCATTTGTAAAATGAAGAGATTGTGGACAAGATGGTTTTTGAGGTTCCTTCCTACTCTAGATCTGTGGCTCTTTGGTCTTGGAACCAAAAGACGATAGGCCTGAATAAGATAAATAAGACCAAAAGAAACTTAATGAATTTTAACAAAAACTGAAAGGGACTCAGTTCTTTCACATAGATTTAAGTTACTCTTTTTTTCATCTGATCATTTTTGCAGAACCACATGTCTTTATTTAACTTACCTACATTATTTTAATCATTTTCCATTAATTTCCAGGTGAGAACGTGGGTAAGTTTTGGGCAATGCATGTTCATTCCCTATCAATAAGAGAAGTTTTACTTACTCTGCTATTCATGCCTTCCATTTCCTTTGCCCTCTGAATTCTTCTCATTTCCATAAAGTGTTCCTTTTTCTTCTGCAACCAAGCTCTAAACACCATTTCATTCTCTCGTTTCTTTTCTTTCTCCTCTTCTCTTTTACGCTGTTCCTCCTGTTAAGAACAATTATAAAGAAATGAGTGAATTTTATTTGGGAGGTAATTAAAAAGTATGTGTTTTCAGAGCAAAGAGCCATGTTTTCAAGGCCAGCCTTCTTTGGGAAGGACCTGCAAATAAGGGGTACATGACATCAAGAGACCTGGAGTGCCAATCGAACACAGGTGATTCCTTTGTTTATAGATTCTTAAATTATATTGATGATGATGGTGCTAATTACCTCAGGCAAAAGTGAAACTTCCATTTGAATTTTCTAGCTCTGCAGAGCTAAATTTGGCTGTGTAGAGAATTTTGAGAGAGTACTATTTCATCCACAATAAATGCATACTGATCTTCAAAGTCACTGGGTGTTAGGAGCATACCCTGACCCTTTCCAATTCTTTGGATCTCCTTTTAGAACAGTACAAAGACAAAAATTAACTGGCAAGTATACAGCACTTTAAAGTAATATCATTTGAACCTTACAACAACTCTGAGATGGAGGAAATCTAGGTATTACTATTATACCTTAGAGATAAAAAAAAAACTGAGGCTCAGAGAGGTTAAATGACTTGTCTATGATCACACAGTTTAAAAGGGGGTCAGAGACAATATTAACATCTAGGTCTTCCTAACTCTGAGCCCAGCACTCCATAAGTCCCTCCTACCATATTATCTCTTCCCAAATATTTATCAATTTCTTTTTTGTACAAAGCATAATACTCCAGGGGGACATGCAAAATCCAAGCTTATAGACCCAATAGGGAGACAGGAACCCAACCACAACTAGCTCCCAAGATGACAAATACAGACAGATATATACATAGACAGAAATATTATTAGATAGATGGATGATGATAGGACAATATATGCACACATACATACGTACATAGATCAACACACAGATAGATGATAGATGGATAGTTATGTCTAGATATAGATATGAATAGATACATATATACATAGATAGATAATAGATGGATAGATATGTGTAGATATAGTTAGATAGATACATAGCATTATATAAGCTCACTAGTGTTTATAACATAATGTGTTACATAAAGTCTGAGGAAAAAGGTCATTAGTGACTGAGGGACATTAGAGAAGACTTGATTACACAAGGAGGTAGCATCGAGGTTAGGCACTAAAAGGACAGATTGGAATTCAACAGAAGATGGAGAAGGAGAGCATACTCCAGACACAGAATGAACAGGCTGCATAAAAGGCAGAGAGATGTAAAAGCATAGCATATTGGAGGGGGAGCGGTGTTGCAAAAGAGCCATCCTGTTTGTCTGCAGCAAAAAAATAAACATAAGGAGGAGAATCATGAAACAAGGTTAGAATGATAACAGGGGACCATGTTGTAGAAAACCTAGAACACCAAAGATTTTATTCAGTAGGCAACAGAGAGCCATGGAAGATTTTTTGGGGGGCAAAGAAATTAACATTATAAACAGACTTACACAAGGAAACATTCTTGCAGAGGTGTAAAGGACAGATTGGAAAGGAGAAAAACTGGACGTGGGAAGTACTGTTAGGAGCCTACTGTAATAGTTCAGGTACGTGGCAACGAGGGCCTCTACTAGGGTATTTGCAATTTGAATAGAGGAGGCAGATTTAAGTATGTTGCAGAGATGAACTCAGTAAGACCTGGTAATTAATTGACTGCATATGAAAGAATTGAGGAGGAAGAAGAAATAAAAAAAACCCCAAGATTATGAACATGTGGGACTGGGTGGTTGATGGTTCCCCAAACAAAAATACTGACATCAAAAGGAAGAGCAAATTTATGGTAAAAGGGAATGAGCTGTTGTGAAGCTGTCTATTTTCGTTACCTTTACTTTCTCCCTTCTCACTTGCTCATAGCTTACAGTCCTTCTGACCCCACAACTTGCTAGAAACTGCTCTCTCTAATGTCACCAATGATCTCTTTCCTGTTAGATCCATAGCCTTCCCTCAGACCACTTCTGGTCCTCTCTGTAGTATTTCACCTTGTTGAACATTTCTCCCTCTTGCAAAGCCTCTTAGCCCTAGATTTTGGGGATATTGTTCGCCATGGTGTGTTTTTTTTCTTACTGTCAAGCTGGTTTTTCTTGGTCTCTTCTGCAAACTTGTCATCCAAGCCCCATGCTACGGCTCTGTTGGGGTTCCTCTCCTGTTCCTTCTCTACCCTCTATACTCTCTCTTGGTCAGATCATCATCTTCTCTAGGTCTGGCTATCTCCTCTATATGGATGCAGTATAGACTCAAACCTAGAGTCAATCCTCATCTTTCTCCTGAAAGTGCACACCTCCAAGAGCATGCCTGACCACCTCCACCTGAATGATCCAAAGGCAGCTCAACTCAATACGTCCAAAACAATACGCACTCCCATTCCCCCTAAATTCACTGCTTCTCTTAGCTTCCCATTTCTGTTAGGCGAATAGCATTTATTACTCAGTGCTTGGCGCTGTGCCAAGCACTGTCCGTGCTGTCAAGGAGACAACATGCAAACATCTATGTGCAGAAAAACCACGTACAAGATAAATGGCAATCTCAAAGGCAAGGCACTGAGCATAAGGAGCTCAGGGAAAGGCTTCTCGAATAGGGCTTTAGGTGAGACTTGAAGAAGACAGGAACTTGAGGAGGGAGAGATGAGATGGGCGAGTTCCAGGTACGAGGCGCAGCCAGTGAAAACGTTGGGAGTCAGGTGATGGAGTGCCATGTATAAGGAACAGCAAGGAGACCAGTGTCAATGGAATACAGAGTACATAGAAAGACATAAGGTGTACGAAGAATGGAAAAGTAGAAGAGGTTATGGAGGGCTTTGAATGCTAAATAGAGGATTTTATATTTGGTGTTGGAAATAAAGGACCCCCTGGAGTTGATTGATTGGGGGAGAAGAGGGTGACAGTCAGATTTATGCTTTAGGCAGATTGATGGCTGAGTGGAGGGTAGACTGGAGTGGGGAGAATTGAGGCAGAGAGGCCAACCAAATAGTCCAGGCATAAGGTGATAAAGACCTGCACCAGGGTGGTGGCAATGTCTGAGAAGAGAAAGGGGCGTATACTAGATATGTCTGAAGGTGACAAGCAACAGGCCTTGGAAACAGGTTGGATGTGGGGTGAGGACTGAAGGAGAGTGAAGAGTCGAGAATGACACCTTCGTCCTAAACCTGGGTGGATGGGAGGATTGTGATACCCTCCACAGTCACAGGGATGTTAAGAAGAGGGGAAGGTTTGAGGTGAAAGATGATGAGTTCAGTTTGGGGCACGTTGAGTTTAAGATGTCTACGAGACATCCTGTTCTAGATATCCAACACGCAACTAGAGATGTGAGACCAGAGGCAGAGAGGTTAGGCCTGGACAAATAAGTCTGAGAATCATCAACACACAGACGATAGGGGAATTTAAGGGAGCTGGTGAGGTCACCAAGCGAAACAGTATGGAAGAGAAGGTGGCCCAGGAGCCCACTGGGACACTCACAGTTAAAGGGCACAACCAAGATCCAGCAAAGGAGACTGAAGAGGAGTGATCAGACAGGTAGGAAGAGAACCAGGAGACAGCAAAGTCCTGAAAACCCAGAGAGAAGAAAATTATCAAGAAGAGGGAGATCAATAATATCCAAGGCTTCAGAGAAGTCAACAAGGCACCACTATTCTTCAAGTTACTCAAGTTAGCAAACTTAGAAGTCATCCTTAACTCTTCATTCTCACTCATCGCTTCCCCATATGCAACCAGGTAGATGTCCATTCTACCTCCACAATTCTCTTCTGCATTCATCCCTTCTCTCCTCTCACACCCCATCTACCCCAGCTCAGGTCTTCGTCATCTCTCACCTACACTACTGCAGTAACTTCCTCATTATCCCCCAGCGTCCCATCATTTCCCATCACCAAGACACTTTCTGCACAGCTGACAAACTGGTATTTCTAAAATAAAGATCTGATCATGTCACTAACCTTGTTCAAGAAGCATCAGTGGCTCCCTACTGATTCCCCTGTCACTTAAAATCCTTTGGCAATCTGGCTTCTCTTTTTCCAAGCTGAATGCACATTGTTCTTAATTGTGAACTCTATGTGTCAATCAAACTCACCTACTTTCTCTTCCCATATACACATATCTTCTATCTTTCACTGCTAAACTTTTAGGGAGAAATCCATATAAAATACTTCCACTTTCTCACTATTCTCTTCCTTCTCAACCCAAGCAGTCTGGTATCTGTCAAATTACTCTTCAGAAATGGCCTCACCATATAGTTAGTTCTTATAATTAAAGCCAATGGCCTTTTATTTTTATATATATATATATATATATATATATGAAAATATATAGATTTATATAATACGCACATATAACACACACACACACATACATAAACAGCATTATATATATACACACACACACACGAAATATAGTATAGCTCTATAACAAGCCATTGCCTGGATCCCTCTTCATCTTTCCCTCTCGGCTGTATTAGGTCTCCCTCTGAAGCTCAGCTCAAGTCCCACCTTCTACACAACACACTATTTCTGATTCCCCTGGTTGTTGGCTCTTTCCCCTCCACCCCCCCCAGCTGATCCCAAATTATCTGGTACTTGTCTCATCTTTTCCATGAACACATCTGTGTTCCTGCTGTATCTGCTGAATGAGCACATGTCCTTGAAACCAGAGAATATCTTTCATTTTTGATTTTGGATCCCCATTGTTGTGGCTGGTTAGTCACTTTCAGTCACGTCCAACTCCTCGTGACCCCTTTTGGGGTTTTCTTCACAGAGATCCTGGAGTGGTTTGCCATTTCCTTCTCCAGCTCATTTTATAGATGAGAAAACTGAGGCAACTAGGGGTAAGTGACTTGCATGGGGTCACACAGCGGGTAAGTGTCTGAGGCCAGATTTGAACTCACGTCTTCCTAACTCTAGGACCAACACTCCACTCACTGTGTCACCTAGGTTCTTCTAATCAAGGACAGACCACCCTGCCAGAATACCTATATTTACGAGTAAGGAGGAGAATGAGGAACCAGTGAAAGAGACATT